CCTCGACTACCACCCGGACTACCCACCTGATATATGACCCTACCCATATATTTCAGAGAGATAATACTATAAATAACCCGTAGAAAACACCCCTACCCTACAACAAGATATCAGTGACCCACCCACTCTCAATGAACATCTAACTTGGGGTGGTTCGACAGTTTTAAATTGAGGCGGGCCCATGGAATGAAATTTCGGCAGTTCAAAATGTGGAGCACTTTCCCTGTATGGGAGGGACAGGGGAAGGGGAAGGGGGAGGAGAGGGGAGGAGAGGGGAGGAGAGGGGAGGAGAGGAGAGAATAGGAGTGCAGGACATGATAGGATATGATAGGAGAAAAGCTGATAGCCTGAAGGTTGGAGGATCATGGACACAACTGAGAAAACGAAGCAGATCGGGAGGTAGAAGACCAGTATGTGGAACGCAAGGTATGAGCACAGTAGGAGGATCAGGACATAGAAGAGCAGTAGGTGGAGGCAGCATCAAAGACTCACGGGCCTTCAGTCCCAGACGGCATGATGACGATTTGATCCTCACGTTGCAGACATCGTGACATGCAACATGAGCGGAGAATCTGACGAAGACCTATCGTACAATCTGGGATCAGGTGCTCTTGCTGGATTCTAACGATACATGTTTGTTTGATCGTTGCTCGATTTTTTGTGCAATCATTTTCTTTCCCATCACCACGACATGCAGTGATATGTTCTATGTTCAGATAGCAGTGAGGAGGAGGATGTGATTCGGACGCCAAACTCCAGGAAGCAGAAGACAGTAAGCTCTCACGCGCAAGGCTGTCGATGTTTACGATGAATGGTCTAGGTTGGGTTCGTCGACACCGCAAGACAAGGCGGGAATGCAGTTAGGTTTGACGCCCTACACTCTTACAGCGACCGAACGTATCAGGATGATGTCTGTGTTGTAGTATCAAGGATCTCTCCCTACTGGGCTACTCGGCAGCTACTTCCATCGGAGCAGGACGTATGCTTCTGCTGCTCCATGATGCCTGGTCCTGATCTTCCAGCAATCGCAGCTAAGAGCTTACCAACAAGCCGGGAAGGCATCCAGCCTATCAAGGGAGGAGGAGATGCCCCGCAGAGACGAGCTGCATGGGAGGCAACAGGCTCTCCTGTCACGCAGGTGCCGAAGGGACTTAATCTCATAGCTGATCCTTATAATGTTCCCCCTGGACTCGTCAGATCTCGGCAGACTTGGAGGAAGTTTCGATCCGAGGGCATTCGCAACACGTTCCGTTGAGCATTGCTGCGCAGGTTCATTCGAGTGCAGAAGCTTGATGGTTGAGTTTCATTCCTGCAGGAAGTCATTTCTCCTGTTCTGTCCAATGCCACGCTGTCTACCTCCCCAACTCAACAAGTCCGAGATCGATCTCCGCTCCCTCCGCTCCCTCTTCGCACGCCAGTCAAGGTAGCATGCTGTTCATGGCATCATTCGGTACTTCTTATGCTCCTCTTCCCGTCTACCAGAAGTCCCTCGAGCAAACGGCAGAGAGTGATCGACAGGATGAATCAGCCCTGTTGAGCCCTCAAGGTCTCCAAACTTCTCATCCAGTGACCAACTTTCTTGTGAGCGATGAGATGATGTATCAAAGTGATTGTGACTTGAGTCGTTCCCAAGAACCGCCCAGGTCAACCTCAGGTGGCCTCGAGAAGGTTTCACAGATGGTTGTTGAGTCACTTTTGACCATCATGCCCAACAGCCTGAGTGACCTGATGTCGAAGAAGAATCTCTTCTCCTCTGTAGGATTTTCGGGAGAGCAGAAGGCTCATCAGAAATCTTTGACAGATGTCTGAAATGAAATGACAGCATGATTGAACGATCTTGACTTTACTTGCAGATCAAGATGAGCATAGTTGGACCAAGTGACCTGGTCGACTTCGCATCTTGTCTTCTTCTCTCTGACATGCGCCTTGTGTGAAACAGAACAAGAGTGAGGCTGAGGAGTCAAGACATCTTTGAATGTTCACGGAGACGTTTGCAGAAGAAGTTCAAACAGGGCGAGAGAAATTGATCTACCTTGAGACTCCGGAAGCTGAGAGGTAGCAAAGAGTATGAGTGGTGAAGATGTTGATGAAGGAGAAGGAGCGAAGGAGAAAGACGAAGGTCGAGAATCCTCGAGTTGATGAGAGTTGAAGCGGAGAAGGTTCGATTCGATACATGATGATGATGATGATGATGATGATGATGATGTAAGATGATGCATGATGATGATGTATGAAGATGATGTAAGATGATGTATGATGATGATGTATGATGATGATGATGTATGATGATGATGATGATGTATGAGGAATATATAACGATGTTGAGAACAGGAATCGTTCCAGCATAAGCAGAGAGTTCTTCAACTTTTAGAGATGTTGCGACAAGTGAGAAATCTTCTTTTTCCTCTCCTCTCCTCTCCTCTTCTCTTCTCTCCTCTCCTCTCCTCTCCTCTCCGCTCTTCTCCGCTCCTCTCTTCCTCCCTTCTTTTCCGTACCTCTACGGATTCGTCAGTTGCTGACGCTTTTGATCTTTAGGCTGAGTCGACGGCAAAAGAGGTGCTGAATGAGTAGAAAAGAAAAACAAAAGCGGCGGCAGAGTGTCGTTGGAGTTGAAGAGGAGGAGGAGGAGGAGGAGGAGGAGGAGGAGGAGGACATAGTTGAATGACGTAATCGTGTGCAGGAAAACTCATTCAACGAGACTCTGGTGAAGGAGCTTCAGAAAAAGATCCAGGAGGGTAAGTTTGGCGACTGAGCAACTTGCTGCCGTATGATGCGATTTGCAGCCGAGGATGAGAAAGAGTCGCTCAACACTCAGTTGAAGACTCTTGAACGTCAGTATGCCTCGCTAGACGAACAGGTTGGAATGAGCTGTTGTCGTGCGCCGCTGGTTGACCTGTCATGTTGGAAAGTTCCAAACGCTCGAGGAGCAGACGGCGGGGATGGAAGAGATGCACCAGAACATGGAGGAGCTGCAGGCTAGGATGAGTGAGAGGGACGAGAAGATCGCGGTGAAAATGCTCTGGCGCCTCATGAAGTCGTGTGATGACTGGGAAGGACCTGGAGGAGAAGCTGAGAAGGTCGCTCGAGAGTCAGTCGCATGCTGAGAGGCAGCTGAAAGAGTCGGAGATCTTCAAGTCGGACCAGGTGGGATCCGACTGTTGCCTGCCTGTCGAGTTTGACAGGCCCCTGTGCTCGTTGAACAGATGCTGGAGATTGAGAGATTGCAAGAGAGCTCTCAGCTTTTCACGAAGGAGAGCAGAGAGATGGTGTGCGGCGATCTTGTTCCTCCTGCCGACTGATCGGTTATGAGTGCAGAACAAAGTCGTCACATCCCTCAAGAATGAAATCGCAACGTTGGAGGAAGCACTGAGCTCGTGAGACAGCTGCGGATGCAAGTTGAAGCCAAGTGATATGTTGTTGGAGCAGAAAGATGGAAGAGATCGAGAGAGCGAGGAGCGAGGTGATCAACAGGCCTTGCATGCTGTTGTCAAACTTGATCGTTCGTCAAAGGCAAGAAAGTACAAGATGTCGATGGATTCTTTAGAGGTAGAGCTGCAAAACTCAAGATCGGAGGTAGCAGAAGGGGATGGAGGTTGTGTTTGAGGACGTTCCTGCAGTCTTCGTCGTTGAGGAGTCAACTGGAGATGGTGTCGCAGGAAAGAGAAGACCTTAGAGAAGAGACTGTTCGCCTCAAGGTGCATGTTTGCTGCTTGCTTGCTTGCTTGCTTGCTTGCTTGCTTGCTTGTCAGCTCAGATGAACGACATGGTTTCGTTGATGAATGAGAGTGCCATCTTATCTTGACATATTCTAAACATGTCGTCTGGGCATCAGGACGTGATCAACGTGAGGAAAAGAGAAGCGGCAGAGTTGCAGGAGTCAGAAGAAAAGTTCAAGGTGACAGATTATGAACAACATCACATCATGCCACAGCACAGCAAGCACAGCACAGCAGCTCAGCTCAGCTCAGCTCAGCTCAGCTCAGCTCGGCTCGGCTCATCTTGTGTCACTTCATATGTGTGATCTCTTTGTTCCACCCGACTCACAACTTCCCTTGTCAGAGTGAAGTTGAAAGGAGGGACCGATCCCTCCGATTCATGCAAGGAAGGCTTGATGCCCTGGAGAGCGAAAACGAGCAGGCAGCAAGGAGCAGGGAGAGAAGAATGCAAACTGACTTGCTCCTGCAGTTGCAATCTGAGATTGTCAACTATCGCAAGCAGTTGAAGAACATGGAGCAAGAAAACAGGACGACCAGCGCGCGAGTAAGTTGATAACATCTTAAACCTTTGATGATGGTTTGATTGGAAATTGATGATGGAGATGAAAACAACGACAACGAAGTTTTCGCTGCTGCTGCTGCTGCTGTTCTTGATGGTGGTGGTGGTGATGGTGGTGATGATGATAGAGTGAAGGAGATGGTTCTATTTTGGTTCAATTCCTAACCCACGTTCTTTAGTGTGCGCAACTGGAAGGATGGATGACTTCATTGCAAACTTCTCGTTCTGACCACACCTATTTCGACAATGGTCAAGAAACTTACAGGACAGAAATGAACAGGTGGGCACAACCCTCCTCCTCCATCTTGATCCCCTTCGTCCTCGTCCTCGTCCTCGTCCTCGTCCTCGTCCTCGTCCTCTCACTTCCTCGTCTTCCTTCCTTCCGTCCCCCTCATCCCTCCTTGTCTTGGTCCTCCTCCTCTTCCTCCTTGTCCTCCTTCTCCTCGCATAGATACATACACCTGATCTTCACGGCATTACAGGGCGTCGCAGAACTTGTCCAACACTTTCAACGCGATGCCGAAGAAACAACTCTCCCTCGACCTGCATCAGCTCAACAGGCCGTTGGAAGACCAGCAGGTTCAAGTGACAGCAAGGCAGCAGCCAGTGGAGCACGTGGGAGGAAAGCAGACTGCGAGAGAGGAGACGTTCCTTTCATCTCGCCGCCACGACAACGAGGCAGAGGTTTCCTCCTCCTCCTCCTCCTCCTCCTCCTCCTCCTCCTCCTCCTCCTCCTCCTCCCGCTCTTGGAGTGACTTTGTGCAGAGCTCGTCAAACTCCAAACGACCCACAAGCAAGGAAGCTATGGTGATGCCGTTGATCCTTCCGCTACCTTCTCCTCTTCCTCTTCCTCCTACTCCCTCCCTCATCCTCCCTCCCTTTCCCCTGTTCCCCTCCTCCTGACCCTCTCCCTCCCTCCCTCCCTCCCTCCCTAGCTCCTCACCTTACCTGTTATTTTTCAACAGGCAGAAGCTCGAGCACAAGAACTGTTCAAAGCCATCCAGGAGCAGAACGTAAGGAGAGCAAGACCGAGGCGGGAGAGGAGCGAGAGGAGGGGGGGGGGGAGGTCATGGGAGGGGAACGAGCAGAGATGGAGCGATCAAAGCTCTGTAAGTTGCCTAATCAAAGGGGAGGAATCGGAGAAGAAGGGAGGGGATGGAAGGATGTGAGGAGGAGGAGGAGGAGGAGGAGGAGGAGGAGGTTGATGTGACAAGCGGGGCAGGCGGAGCGAGCAGAGCGGGAGAAGCGAAAAAGTCGAATGAGCAACTCGAGCGGCGCGCCATATGCGCATGGAGGAACTTTTGGGAGGTTTAAAGACAGCGATGACGATGATGATGATGATGATGATGATGATGATGATTGTGTGATGATGATGATGATGATGATGATGATGATTGTGTGATGATGATGATGATGATGATGATGATGATGATGATGATGATGATGATGATGATGATTGTGTGATGATGATATTGATAACGATGATGATGCTCTTGTTGATGATGATGCTGAGATTACAGATGATGAGTTGTTGTCTCTTTCCCAGCTCATTCTCTCCTCCAGCTCTGCGAGCCAAGATCAAAGGCCGACACCTTACATGCATGGCGAGTCAGAAGCAGAGGATGCTGCTGTTGCAATGAGGACAAGATCCAAGTTCAGAGATGTGAGGTCTGCTGAGGAGCGACAGACTTGTTCTTCGGAGCCGCCTGTACAAGTCGAGCATAACAACTCAAACCCTCGAGAGCCGCACACTGACGATACTCCCGTCAAGCGTTCCAACGAGGCGAAACCAGTGCAAGAGGGATTCTCCTTCACTTCGTTCCAGGTTGGTGACTTGAAGTCGTGATGACGATGACGATGATGTTGAGTTGTTGTTCTTGTTCTTGTTCTTGTTCTTGTTCTTGTTCTTGTTCTTGTTCTTGTTCTTGTTCTTGTTCTTGTTCTTATTCTTGTTGATGGGGATAGGGATGGAGATGTGGACAGAAATGAGAGTGGAGATGATGAGTTAGAGTCGAGGGAGGAAGGAATGCGTTAGAATCATGACATGTTACATGTCGTGCACATTTCATTCATTTCCAATCTCACGATGTTGTCTCGTGTTCGTCTCTTCCATCTCTGACTTCATCTTGCATTTTCCTGCTCGTCATAACAACATTCGCAGGAGATTGACAACTACACTCGAAACCTCCAGCAGCAACTCTTGTCCCTCAACCAAGAGAAACAGATGATGGAGTCTCAGGCATCCTCCTCCTCCTCCTCCTCCTCCTCCTCCTCCTCCTCCTCCTCCTCCTCCTCCTCCTCCTCCTCCTCCTCCTCCTCCTCCTCCACTCGTCCTCTCTGTTCCCTCTAGCTCGCTCACACGTCGCTACTCTCCCCCTCCCATCTCATTGTTTTTCAATTGACCTCTTTCCTCTCTTCTCTCTGCTCCTCCTTTCCCTCCCTCCCTCCTCTCCCCTGCAGCTCCTGACTTTCACGGCAGTTGACCAAGTTGGTCTCAAAGGGCTTCCTCAAGACAGGAGAGGAGCGGTAACGAACGAGCTTCGTCTTCGAACTTCCTGCTCCGTCCTGCCCGTCCCCTCCTCTTCTTTCCTGCTCCTGTCCCCTCTTTCTCCCGCTCTTGCTCCTGCTCCTGCTCCCTCCTCTTCTCTCCTACTCCTGCTACTCCTCGCTGCCTCTCTTTCTCCTTATGCATTCGACTGCTGCAGGAGGCACAAGCTCGACCTCGAGCGAGGGCTTGAAGAAGTTTCGAAGCAAATCGTCTCGCTTCGTCGCCAGGTGATGGAGGAGAAGAACGTGGAAGAAGGAGAGGAGAGGAACGGGGAAGGAAATAAGAGTGAGAGAGAAGGTAACGGTGAAGACAGAGGAGGAGGGGAGGAAGGGGAGGAAAAGGAAGGGGGGGGGGAGGTGCTGACGGCTTCTATCAGGTACGGAAGTTGGAAGGCAACAGCTTAAACCCGAAGCCCATGCAGGAATATTCCGTCCTAGAGCGATGAAGGAGAGGGGAGAAGAGATTCATTCCCCCATGTACATGAAGCATGCTGAATGATATAAAACACTTCAACTACTCCTCTTCTCCCCTCTCCTCCCCTCCCCTCCCCTCTCCTCTGCCATTCTATCCATTCCTTCCGCCCTCTCCCCGGGGTCGTCATTTTCCCAACAAACCTTTTTTTGCGCTGTTTTTCCTCCCTCCCCACCTCCATCCTCCCATCACATCCACATCTGACCCCCCCCCACCCCCCCACCCCCCCTCACTCACTCTCTGCCCTCCCCCCCTCTCTTTCTCCCTCGTTCTCTCTCTCTTTCTCTCCCTCTTCTTCCTCCTCTCCCTCTATCCTTTCCTCATCTCAGCATGGAACCTGAGCACGGTCACCCCGAACACGCAGACTTGCCGGCCATCCGAGCAGACGAGGTCTTAGTGCAGCTCACCCGAGCCTTCATCGCGCGGCAGCAGGACAATTTCGAGCAGCTCATGAGCGGCTCCTACTCCCGCGGCATCAGCTGCTCCGGTAAGATCATGGGCATCGGATCTCAGGTTGACCCCAAGCGCTTTCGCTCCGGCCTCTCAGTCATCATCGAGCCCTACAGCTACTGCCGCTCGTGGGTGCCTCCTCCTCCCACCCGCCCCCCTGTTCCTCTCCTCCCTCCTCCTCCACCATCATCGTCACCACAACAATCACCTCCTCTTCTTTGCCTCCTCCTCCTCCTTCCCCCCTCCTCTTTGCCTCCTTCACACTCCTAGCATGTGAACTTGAGCTCACAGGTGCGCCAACTGCGAGATGGGTCAGACCAATCTCTGTCAGTTCGGCCGCGTCCTTAACTTCTTCGAGGACGGCGACCTCCTCCCATGGCTCTGCGTGCCCCAGCACCTCGCCCATGTCCTCGACGGCTCGGCACGGGACGAGCTCCTGCTCACGGCATGTGCAGCCAGCGTGACACAGGGCATGATCAAGGCCAACATCCTCCCAGGAGACAGCGTCCTCATCATCGGAGACGACGTGCACTCCTTCATCGGCTCCTGCTTCGCCCGCAGCGTCGGCTCCGACTTCGTAGGCATCGTCGCTCGGACTGAGCGCAACATGTCGACGGCGCTGCTGTGCGGGGCCTCCTGCTTCTGGTCGAGTTACCAGGCGGAGAGCGTGCCCAGCATTCACGCGAGGATCGAGATGGACGTGAGGAGGGAGACGAACGCTGCAGGAGCCGATGTGGTTGTCTACACCAACGGCTACGACGAGACTTGCCTTCCTCTCAACGTCGCTCTCGACTGCCTCCGTCCTGGAGGCAGCTTGATCCTTGCTCGGTCCCTGGAGGTTGACAGGTGAGCAAGCAGCTGGGCTGTTCTTGGGCATCGTGAACGCTCGTGCTGGCAGGGACGAGGCGCCGTCCTTACACGAGGCTTCTCGTCCTCACTCGAACTTCCTCGAGCGGATCATCAGCAAGCAGATTCGCTTCATCCCGGTGAGCAGAGCACAGCTGCGACTTCTCCTCCTCCTCCTCGTCCTCCTCCTTGTCCACCTCGTCGTTGTCATCCTCCTCCTCTCCTTACTCTCTCCTTCGTGCTCACTCTACACCCAACATATCTCTTCAACCCACGTCCTCTCCTCGTCCATATCATCACCACCACCACGTCAACTAAGTCAACCAGCTCTGACACTCAGCATCAGGTTTGGGGCTTCTCATCTGCCGTCTTCAAGCAGGTGCGAGGAGGAGAACAAGTGAGCAAGTAACGTCTCTTGCAGACGCTCGAGTGGCTGCGATGCAAAGTCTTCGACGTCAGCCCGGCCTTGACGTGAGCTGAGAGACTCCTGCCTTCTTGCCTGACCTTTCCCGTCACAGCAATGAGGTCTGCATGCGTATTCAGAGCAGCGAACTTGAGGAGGTGAGCAGCCTAGAGGACCAGCTCGTCGGTCTACTCCTCGTAAGCTGAAAAATCTCGGGATCGTGGGGTGTATAGACTTCATCAGAACTTTATAGAACAATCCTCCTCCTCCTCCTCCTCACATCACAAGCCCAACTCGTTACAGACGAAGCAGTGCCAATGGCGAGCAGGTCCAACATTGTCCACCTCACAGGAAAAAGCGAAACAAAACTCAACTAAACGGGAAAATAAGTGAAGGCTCTGACGAGTTACAACACGCGGAATCCTCTTCGCCTCTCGATGATCTGGGAGATGTAGTCGTGGGTGGACACCCCTGGGTGTTTCCCTCCTGCCCACATGTCAACGATGCAGGCGAGTCAACCCGCACTAGCTCACCCATCCAGTCGGGAATGGCTTCGATGGGGATGCCTTCCTCGTTCATCTTCTTGATCGCTTCCTTCGCGCTACCTATGATCTGAATCTTGCTCAACGTGACCGGGTGCAGCCATGGCTTGATGATTGCCCAGATCGCTCGGAAAATCAGTGGAGAGTTCACCTAAAAGCTCATCAGCATATGCGGTCCACCCCTTCAGCCTCATTCACCAGATAAATCTTCCACATGCTCTCAGGGTAGTAAGTTGAACCAATGTGAAAAATCTTTTGAAGAACCTGCAACGTATCAGCACGTGCGAAGAAGTTCCAATGTGCTGCTCACTTGTCTCTTCTTTCCTCGCAGCATGTTCATACTCATGTTCGTCAGATCTACGCATAGAGTGTGCTTGTATCGTTGTGATCCATTTTGCCTATCAACCCATTAAACCCAACCATCGCGCAAGGATTCCTCACATCATCCATTCATGCTTGTAGATTTGATAGGCGCTCATCTTCTGCCCTTGTAGACTACAATGATCCTCACTCTCAGACAGGAACAGACAAGTAGAAGCTTCTCCACCTTTCCAGGGCTTCATCGCTCAACGTCATCAATGAATCTGTGTCTACTTCGCCAGCCCTTACTCCCTGGATGAAATGCCCCCATTTATCGTGCCCATACATCTTTTCCGGCCACCTGATCCCCATTCATTATGCTGATGAATATCACAAACTTAGGGTACCATGCATGAAAATTCTTATCGTCTTGGATATGGCAGTCGAAAAATTTGTAGAACCCAACCTTGTCCCGCCAGTCAGCGATCATCTTGATGGCCTGTGTTGTCATCATCACTGGCAATTTGATATGCTTTCATCGGCTCATACATCGCAAATCGCTTTCCTCCTGTCTGACTCTCCCCAGAACCCTCTCACAATCATGAGAACCTGGCACCGTGATCAGAAGCATTGCCGTCACAACAGGTAGCATCACATCCAGGGGATCTGCTGCAAACTTTTCACGCTGAGCATCAGTGAGTGATTCAAGCGCTATCTTGCACCAACGGTCTTCCTCCTCTGTCCTACGGCATTCTTCCTCCGCAGCGAGCTTGTCTTGGATTGGCGACATCAATCAAGAAGGCAGGATCAAGTGTGCTTTGTAACTTGGTATCCCTTTCCTCCTGCAAACCAACCCATCGGTTAACATGAGCACATGCCAATACGAAATGTTTCTTGATCATGTCTGCATAATTCTAACAGTCCCATTTGCATCTCTTCACAATCCCTCCCATTGCCAAAAACTACATTATTTGATCTATTCCCGCTCCTTCTTCCCTTCCTTCCATACTGCAACGGACATGACAATAGTGTTCCTCCTCCAACTTTCCCCTCATGATTCTCTCATCAAGCTTCCTCCTCCAACTCCCTACAGTGTAGTTAGCACCATCGCCCTTCTCCATCCTGACGGCTGTAAACCTGAAAATCTGTGTCGCAACACCTTGCCCGATCTTTCCAACACTCACTGAACAATAGGACATTTCTCAAGCGGAAATCTCAATGATATTTCATTTCACTCCTCACTTCACTTCAAGAGCGCCATCCAACCGCTATTGACTCAAACGAACAACTCTTTCCCCACCTGCTTCTTACAGCATCGCGATAAAAGCTCCTCTCCGACTGCAGCTTATTCCATGATCTGTTCTAGAAGGCTTCAACTGCGTTTTCTATGTTCTCATTCTACTTTCCTCCGCCATTCCCATACCTCCCACAGTTCCTCCTCCTCCTCCTCCTCCGTCAACTTTCACAAAAGCTTCACTCCTGCATTTCCTGAACCACTACCCCCTTCTCAAATTTCCCCCGGGAACCTGCCATGAACCCCTACCCCCTCCTTCAAAGACCCCTACCCCTACATTACTTTTCCCCTATCCCTGGACCCCTCCTGTGTTATGTATTGACCCCCACCCACCACCGACAAGAATACCCGCAAGGGGACCACCTCCGCAAGACATAAAATACACCCCGTCATCTTCCAAGTACCCCCCACCCCCCATATCAAGAATTGGACCACCCCATCTATTTGACCATCACATCAAAACTGGAAACCCCACCTTGGATGGACCTGCACCACCCTACCACCCCCACCCTAGTCACTTGCTAGCTCCAGTACCCCAAACTGACCTCCTTGTACCTACAGCAAAAAGGTACCCCTACCCCATTCTTTGGACCCACCTTCACATCTCACAACGATTGAAGGTACCCCTACTTTTAGCTCATCTTCGCCTTTGACTACTTCACACAAGTTGACTACCCCTACCCCCAAGATATCTCATGAGAACCCCTCTAAATCTATGTTCGGTTGAACCCCTACCATAGGAGAATCATAACCCCTTCCATTACTACCCCCTCTATGTGATCGTGGCCTAGAACCCCTGGTAAATCTTATATTCCCCAATCTCCACATTGAGGTACGGGTCCTTATCGTACCAAAGGGGCTCCCTACCTGCTGGGGTCATCGAATCTGCGGAGTTTGCAGAATTTAGTGAGGGTGGGTGTACGCTGTGGTTGCACTAGGACCCGGGGTATTATATAGAAAATGAGAGGGTAGTCATTTATAAAAGATACAGAGATAATGGGTGGGGGTGGTAGTAGCTCTTGATCGTCGTGAAGGACATGTAGGGAAAGATGGGGTAGGGGGTACCATCACCACCCTAGCCACTATCTCAGATGCTGGATATGTTATTAGTAGCATATCTCAGCAGCGTAATTATTATGATCTCAATTAAGGAATTGAAGATCTTGGAAGGCTTTCTCCGCATCAACTCACCCCCCACCCCCCTGAATCTAACGGCTCCCACACTCACTACGTCCTCAGATCGCACAGTCGGGTGCAGTCTATCTACTAGCTTTTTTGCCCGGTGTTGCTCGGGAACGCCAAGTCGGACCGTCCGCCCGGACCGTACTCACGGTCGGTCGCGCGAGGGCCCGGCCCGTACGGTACCGTACGGTAGCGCGGCCGCGCCGTCGATGAGCCAGGCAGTGAGCCAGGCAAGGTTTCATTGACCAACGTCAGATTAACACGGCCGGGATGTATCAATTAACACGGGCCGGGATGTATCAATGCCGGAGGCTGTGCTTGTCATGCTTGCACCATCTTTCCAGCACTATGTGTTTCCAAGGCATCACAAAAACCTGGAAGGAAAGATCCCTTACAGCATGCTTTCCATCCTTAGTCAGTATTCATGCCGCTAACAAATGAGGAAACACAACCATCATGGACATCTTGGTGCTTTACCGACATCGCATGCAGCGCGATTGCTATGCACGATATGTCCAACAGTTCCAAGAAAGAGATAAAAACAAAACTTAAAACTCTAAAACTGAAGGTCAAAGTACTAAATATCAGTCAAGTTTTAGGTTCTTTCTACCCTGCTTTCAAGCTATCTTGCATCCTTTCATGACAGCATTTCTGCCACGGTTGACCACCCCCCTTCCCCAGTAGTATAGTCTACGACCGCCGGTAGGGGTAGTGGGTGAGCACCGCACGGAGGGTTCCCGCCTTTTCTCGAAGTTTGTGGGCGGATCGGATGCCGGCGCGGCGGCAGCGCCCGCAGAGTCGGAGGGAGAGCAATGAATCTGCTCTGTCAGCGCGGCAGCAGAGGGAGAGCAATGAATCTGCTCTGTCAGCGCGGCAGCAGAGGGAGAGCAATGAATCTGCTCTGTCAGCGCGGCAGCAGAGGGAGAGCAATGAATCTTCTCTGTCAGCGCGGCAGCAGAGGGAGGGGGAGCGGGGACCTGGGAGCAGAGAGTTTGACTCTCATGCCAGCAGGCTCGAAGCTCTACAGAGAGAGTTCGAAGCTTTCAGGCTAGATGACGTCCGCCAGAGGGTTGAAGCGTTGGAGGAGAGTAGTATTCGCCAGAAACAGACTATTGAAGCATTGAAGAAAGACATCGCCCGCCAGAAAGAAGAATCAGACAAGCGGATAGAAGCGTTGGAGGAGAGTAGTCTATTGAAGCCTTGAAGAAAGATAATCATCGCCACAAGAAGACTATTAAAGCCTTGGAGGCTTTCAAGGAAAAGCAAAATATAGTGAAGAAAATGCGATTCGGTGTTTTTGACGACCTTTCTTCTGGTTGTGTCGAGCTTCCAAATGCTCCTGCTGTATTGGACAAATTTGTTTGCGTTGCTTTCTGCCAACATGCATCAAGACTACTTGCCAATGATTGCTTTAAGGCTGTGAAAGCATCAGACTATAAATATTGCAAGAGGGCCCGCCCCAAAGGTTACCCCACAGAGAGAGCTTTTGACTTGAATGGTTGTAAGGTGAAATCATCAGTGATAGAAGCTTCGCACTTGCTCCCGCACAGCCATTCATGTCGGATGGACTGGGCAGCTACTTTGCAGCATACCCTTCCCGAGGACTTGCGGCGGTCGGAAGACGTGGTTCAGAAGATTTTGTTCGGGTGTATCGATCAGGACCGTAACTACATACCGGGCATTGCGGAAAGTTATTTCAACTTCATCTACCTTGCTGGGCAGCGTATGCACTTAGATCAAAAAGCGGCTCTGATGTTGCTTCCGCTTCTATCTCCCCAGCAGCAATGCGAGTGGAACGGCGAAGGGTACCAAGCGATCTTAATCTGTGCAAATCAAGAAGTTTATCATGAAACTTTGTTTAGACTTGATACTGAAGCAATCGGAGAGAATGAGTCAGGGCACGATCAAGTCTCACCGTGGCAGGTTGGAGAGGAGTCTCGTCTCAAGGAGATCTGCGAGCCGATGAGGGAGAATTATTTGATTCCCAGGTTGTATCCAGGTAATGCTGTATGTATTTGTAGACCGTACCAATGAGCCGCATCTTCTACATGACATGGAGAAACTTCATCAGGCTCTCGAGCACATCGAGACACTAATGAATGACGTTTGTGCGATTCAGTGCGGTCAAGAAAGCCTCAAAAACCTACAGCAGAGAGCCGGAATCTGGACCAAAGGCTCAGAGTCGACACGGCGTTGGAATCTAACCAAGGTTACTAGCTGTGATTTTCTCAGGGACAAGCTGAGAAGAGAGAAGATGGTGAAGGCATTCAAGGGACTGGAATCTGAAACCGATGAGATTGCATGTTTTCGCTTAATAAGGTTCAAAGGGAGCAGTCCCGAAGAGGAAGCTGAAAAACTTCACACGGCTCCGCATCCAGTTCTTCTCTCGCTTCGTTCGATGAACGCAATCACGAATCACTTTTATGGAGATTTGCCAAACGGGGATACAAGTTTGCTTCTCATGTCCTGTTACAGCGGCCTGGACGAAGGGATGGAATTCGACTGCGAGCATTGCTTACAAAACGCGTTTGGCCAGGAATATGACGAGGAGGAGAAATATATCATGGGACCTGATGGGCCTGAGATTCTGTCTTGCGATTCAAATTCTGTAAGGAGTTCAGAGAACAGTCCCGAGGTATCGCTGTGTTCGGCCGCAAAGCTTTGTGGGTCTGATGCAAGCGCATCTTCCAACACGAGTCAAGATTCGGAGAATAGCGCCGCGAGCACTGTTCCTAGGGACCTATTTGGTGACTCCTGACAGAGGCCCGGTGCCCATGATGAAGAATCTGTACCTAGAAAAATAGATCATTACAGTTTTACCGCCTCCTGCCGCGCCGACTCTGAAGGCCCTGTTTCATGTACGTCCCTGATGCTTCAGGCTCGGCGGGATGAGTCGGGTTTTCGGTCCATACTTCTCCTTGACAAGTTCAACGAAACCATGATTGAAGCACTCTGAATAGTTCTCATGGTCGATACCAATATGAGTACTGAAATTTGCAAGTCTTCTGCCCATTCTCTCCATGGCCAACATGACTGCTTTTGTTTGCAAAGATTCTTCATGTTGGAACACACTAGCTCTGTTCCTTCCAAACGTTTGAGTGGACCAATGCGCCTTGAGGTACACGATGTTCCATTCCTCCCCATGTAAACGGTTCACCTTCTATCAGTGTGCCTGAAATTTCTTGCAGTTCCCCTCCACCCCCTCTCCTTGTCACTTCCTCAGGACCATGCATCCTTCTCGACGTCTGAAGTCCTTGAAGTTCAGAATCATGATCCACTTGAAACTGTCTTCACCCATGTTGTACACAGATTTGAAAATAATCTTCAATCATGATTCTTGGCTGATATAAGTGCCATTTAGTAGGCCAGTAATTGAGCCACACAGGCTGCTACCGCCCACACCGGCCCGGCGACGGTGAATTAATGATGACTTCTCAGGCCGCGACAGTCGGCCCGGGGCCGGCCGCATCGCCACGATCATATGATCGGATGCACTGCCCGATCCCTTGTCATATGGCCTTGTGTTGTTGAAATTTCTTTCAAGGCGAACGACATCACAGAAGCATCCCTCTCGCGGCCGCAGACCTGTCCTCCTAGGGGCGACTTGCTTGTCCACATCTCTCCTTCTCGCCGTCTATCCCCTCTTCGGGGGCTGAAGTCTGAAGTTCATGCGTAGACTTGCCTTCATCTCTCTCCGCAAAGTCATTCATCATCATACGTCGCTCGCTCTCAGCACTGCCATTGTTGTCAGTCTACTTTCCTCTGCTCTCGTTCTCTGGCCGAACCTCAACAGTCATTCATGGCCGCCACAGAGGAGGAAGTCTGCCATCGCCGCCAACGGAGGAACATCTTCCGCAGCGCAAGGAGGGAGAGCACGACCATGCAGAGTCCAGCAAAGACAATAAGGGGCCAGTGTTCCATCAGCACCGCACGCTCTTCCCGGGAGGATGCCTGCCAGACCAACCAAGGGGTTATCACCTGTAGACGAGTGTCAGCTGGAGCGAAGCCACCAAGGCAGGAGGTCACAACATCAAGGGGTTGGAAGCTCGAGCAAGCAATTCAACGTGTGTTTCGGAGGTTCAGAGGATAGAGAGAAAGGACACATGCACCCGCGTGAGCGCAGTTTGAGGATAGAGGCAGTAATTAACATTGGGCACGAACCATCATCGTCAAGGTTAGGATGAGACTGAAGCATTCGAAGTAGCTTTCACAGCTACGAGACGACAGAAGCTTTCGAGGCGTCAACTCGAACTTGTGCTCGATCTTCACGGCATACTGTTCACGACAAACTTCGCAACGGAGGACCGGAGTCCCTCCCTGAGTGAATGCAGTCAAACCAGGCAGATGAACCAGAACCAACCACCTGGTGATCTGACAACCGAGAAAGAGAGTTGTTCGGCCTGGACTGAAGCCATTTCTGTAAGCACGGCAGATGTACGTACTGGCACGATCCCTTGCAGCGACAAACTCGAAGGAGCTTCCCATCCTCTTGGCCCCCCTTACATATCCTGCACTCCGTTGTGTTTGACTGCAAGGCACCAGTATCACCAGACTTGTCACATAACAATCATCGGGAGCGAGCTGCAGCCATCACACGCTGTGGCTACAGAAAGTAGTGACTGAGCATAGGGGACGTACCTCCAGCATGTCGTCCGATGTCATTCGGAGGGAGGGAGCGGAGTGAGGAGGCACGCGGGAGATAGCATCTCCCTGAGAGGCAGGGGCAGGACAGGACAGGGGATGTTGTGGAGGAGGAGGGGGGACGGGAGGGACGGGGGCAGGCGGCTGTTGAACGCCATGGCCCACCATTGCAACACAGTACGAGTCCGCCTCACTACCATCCTCGGAAAAGGAACGTTGTTCTGAGCCTGCCTCGGACCAGTACTGAATGTTTAGTTAATTTCTCAGTAAGTGTGAGTGGGGATGTGGTCCAGTGGGGTGCAGGGCCTACGGTAACGGCTGTAATGCCGCGGGGCCAAGGCGATCAGGAGGAGGGAGGGAGGGGAGGGAGGGGAGGGAGGGGAGGGAGGGGAGGGAGGGGAGGGAGGGGAGGGAGGGGAGGGAGGGGAGGGAGGGGAGCGCGATTGAGCAGCAAGTGAAGATGAGCAGAGATGTAGACCGTGACCCGGATAAGAAGTAGAGCCGTGAGATAATGCCAGGGAGCTTGAATGGCGAGCTGGATCGTCGGAGGTTGAAGTGACTGGCACTACAGTTGCAGCACGGGCAGTGAAGCGTTTTGAGATGGTGTGGGGAGCTGCTCACAAGAGAATTGTTGATAGTTCCAAAAAACTATCAAGTGAAGTCAAAAGGAGCTGCGAGCTGTGAGAGTGGAGATTTGACTTGATGTCTTGTTGAAGTGGAGGGTTTCCAACATGTTGGACCAGCCATGATCTTTTAGAGCAACAATCGACTGTACAGATCTTTTGAATGACATGTGAATCAAAGATTGATGTTTCTGACGCGTTCAACAGGTTTTGTCGGTGAAGGGAACAAAGGAAAATGCCGAAGAAAGGAAAGAAAGCCAAGGTAGTCGAAACCCCAGAAGAAAGGGCGCTGCGGGAGGCAACTGAGAAGCTCAAGGCGGAAGAAGACAGGAGGAGGAAGGAGGAAGGCATGCGGAGGAAGCTGATGGAGGACATGGCTCAGGAATCTCGATTCTCGAAGCTCAACCTAGCCAAGATTCAGAACCAGTGAGCGAGCAACTCGATGCACGCCCTCGTCTGACGTTGCTGCTGCGTGCAGGTGGAGGAAGCTGATGAGGCTGTCAAAGGTTGAGTCGCTGAGGAAGGACATCGAGATCATGTCGCAGAACCATGAGCGAGAGGTCGACATGAAGGACGCGATCATCCAGATGCTCGACCGGGACCTGGACGATGCCGAGGAGCAGTACCAGATTGCTCTCCGCAGCCATCTGCAGAACGTGGATACGCTGATAGACCTCTACAACTCAAAAGTGAGGCAGCTGGAGAAGGAGTTCGAGGAGGAGGTGCTCCAGATTCAGAGTGACTTCCAGACGGAGAGGACCGACCTGGTGAGCAAGCACACGCGCGCCAAGGGCGAGCTGTCGGAGGTCATCGACCTTGTAGATCAGCAGTTCAGAGACAGCGAGCTGGAAGCGAAGCAGGACTTCGACTCCTACTGCGAGGAGCTCAAGAACAAGAACCTGGAGGACAGGAATGTGCTCAAGATCATGCTCGAGTCGCAGATCGAGGGGCTGGAGAATCATTTCGCCAACGCGGCTGAGACGTACGACCAGACGACGAGGCAGCGGACGCAGCAGTTTCGCAACCTGACGGCGAAAGATCGCAATGCAGCTCAAACCATTGAGATGCAGCTCAAGCGGCTGCAGAGGCTGCAGGACACGCTGTCGCACTGGCGCATGAAGATCGCGAGCAACGTCAAGGAGTGCGAGGAGAGGAACCGGCTGATGCGGGAGGAGCGCGACCAGATCTCGCGTCACTTCCAGGAGCTGAAGCTGCGCATGAACAAGATGCGAGACGAGCAGAGCGCGCGGCTGATGGAGCTGAGCCTTCAGAGCAGGAAGTGCATCCAGACGCTGGAGAACCAGAAGAAGCGAGCAGAGACGATCTTGAGGTACGCCGAGCTCAACCGTAAGCTGGAGACGGAGCGAGAGAAGATCCTCCCCTTCTATCCCATCACTGCCATCGGCGATGACCCCAGCATCCCCGAGGAGCTCGCGACTGAGGCCCGCGCTATGTCGAGCTATGCGCTGGGACACGACGGAAAGCAGGTGGAGGAGTGGAGCTACCTGGACGTGTTCTTCAGGAGGTACAACCGCGTCCTGCTGGACAGAGTGGCGATCGCCAAGGAGAAGGAGAGGCTGAGGAACGAGAACGAGGACCTCAAGAGCATCCTCAAGCAGTACCTCGACGGTATCTCCGTCAACGCTCAAGTGCTCTCCGACCCCAACCCGCTCTTCGTCCTCAACAACCGAACTAACATCCAGAAGCGCCCTTTCCCCTCCGAGCAGTACATCCCCGTTCAGAACGCCAACGTGGTGGTGAACCAGCGGAGCATGATGGAGAGAAATTAAGAGGCGAAGGAAGAGACGGTCCAAGATAGGAGCTGAGGGAACTTGTTTGTTGTTATCAAGTATACAACATGGTGATCATTACATGGCGCGTTAGGCAGAGCCCTTGTTCGCCAGCATTGCTTTGATCTCCTTCACACGTCTGATGCAGTCTTTGTCGCTCTTCCCCGGCACTTTCTCTGCGATCGCCTTCCACTTCTCCTTCGCCTCCAGCGTGCTAGATTTGAACTCTGCCATGGCGGCTTCCAGAGCACGCTGAAGCACCCACAGTCACTCCTCCTCCTCCTCCTCCTCCTCCTCCTTCCGTGCTGTAACACCTGGCTCCCTTCCATCCCTCCCCTCTCACACCCCCTCCAGCTTCCCTGATTGCACTCTCTCCCACTTTACATGCAGAAGTTACCTGCTGCTCGACGCTCCAATCCGACTCAGCCGCTGGCTTCGGCTCCTCCTTCGCCTGCTCCTCCTTCGCCTCCTTCGCCTCCTCGTCTTGGCGCGAAGTTTCTCTTTCAGATACGACTGAAGTGCCGCTAGTCTTCTTTCCCGCTCCCTGAGGTGTTCCATTAGTCGCTCCCACGATAACGATGCTGATAATTGTGAAGATGAAGATGATGAAGATGATGAAGATGAAGATGAAGATGAAGATGAAGAAGATGATGATAATGAAGATATGAAGGCCGCAAGGACGATGGTTTTTGATGTTTGCAGTTAAGGGTGTGCAAGGGACAAAGACAAACATCAGACAGTGTCTTGCAACAACTCACCGATCGGCTTCCATGACCCTTCTGCGCCTCTGCTTTACTCCTCTGAAATTCCAGCTGTGAAGGAGTGAGAACCAGCCAAACACTCTTCTTCTTTTCCTTCACTTCCCCTGTCCCCCTCTCCCCCCCCCCCCCTCCTCCTCCTCCTCCTCCTCCTCCTCTCACATCAGCATCTACGCTCATTCCAGCAGCGTTGGCCGAGAAGTTGTTCTTGAGCTCATGGCACTTTCGCTGACACTCCGCGTCGGATCTAGTCCCGATGCTCTGCGCGATCTTGGTCCACCTCTGCGAGGCAACGCGAGTCAGGAGGAAAACGCGCCTGCAGCTCCTCTTACCTCCGACGTGCCAGCAGGATAGCGAATGAGCGCCTTGTGCAGCAAGTCCATCTCCTCCCTCGACCACTTCCTTTCCTTGCTCCCTTCCTTCTTCTGCTTCAGCTGAGCAAGGAGGCTGTCCCCGGCCTCCTCCTTCTTGGCTTCTTGCTGCGCCTGACCGGACGAGATCTTGAGCTTCTCAAGAGCCTCCGAGAGGATGGGAATCGCTTCGTCGTTCCCTCCCTTCACTTGCGCAATCCTCTCGGCCAGCTGCAACAGCTCATCCTCGCTCAGCGTCCCTGCCTTACCCGTCACGTCTGAGGCCTCGCAAGCTTCCTGAACTTTCACGGACGCGATCCCATCCAGCCCGGCGGTTTCAGCCGCATCTCTCAAAGCCTTTCGAGCCCTTTTGAGGGATTTCTTAGCCGCGTCCTTGGCCTCTTTCTCTATCTTCCTCCTCTCAGCCTCCTCCTCCTCCGCCTTCTTCTTGGCAGCTGCCTCCTCCTCCGCTCGCTTCTTTGCCTCCTCCTCAGCCTTCCTCTGATCAGCATACTTGGCCTGCTTCGACGCCTTCTTGGCATTCTTGAGGTCCTCCTTGTACTTCTGAATCCTGGGGTCCCACTTGTGACAGGTCTCGATGATCATGTTGATCCGTCGCGTCTCGTCCTTCTTCAGCTTCTCCGCCTGCTTCTTGTTCTGCCTCTCCATCCACCTCCGCTCCTCTCGGCAAGATGCCTCGTCCAAGTCGAACGCCTCCTCGATGTCGTTAGTGAAGTCCCGCCAGGACTCGAAGTTGAACCAAGCCTCGTACACCTCCAGCACCGTCTCTATCGGGGTCTTGGCGTCTCCCAGGGAGGGCAGCGGCTTCAGCGACCAGCGAGCATTGCGATCGAGCACAGGGCCCCACGTCTTGAAGAAGTCTTCATCGTCCTTGGGCTTCTTGTCGGCAGGGACGCTGTCGTCAATGTCGGCCTGCATGTCCTTGGAGTCGTACGCCCTTCGCTTTTGCGGATCAGACAGGACAGCCATGGCGTTGGAGAGCGCCTTGAAAGCTTGATCAGCTTCAGTCTCGTTGCTGGACATGCCCTCCTTCACCCTTCTGATCCTTGAGATCTTCTCCTCCGGATTCTCCAAACCCTTGGGACAGACGTCGTTGCCTTCGACGAACTCGACGAACTGATAGTTCTTGAGGATCTGAGCATCGCTCTTGTTCTGGTCGATGAGCTTCTCCACCAGCTTGATAACATCAGTCGGGATGTCCTTGAGCTCCTCCGAGTCGACCTCCTCCAAGCTCTGATCCCCGCTCTCCTTGCTCGCCTCCTGCTGGTTCAGCTTGTCGGGGTGATACTTGAGCACGCATTGGCGGTAAGCCTTCTTGATGTCCTGCTGTGAAGCTCTCCAGCGAAGGTCCTGCAAGCCCAACATCCTGTACAGATCCTCCTTGTCGTCCATCGAGGCCATGGCGGCGAAGTCCACGCTCTTCCCGCGCGAGGTCGGATCGTCCACCTCGCCAGCGCCTTTGTTGGGCTCATCGCCCTTGTGCAGGAGCTCATGGAGCGCCCGACCAGCCTTGATCACGATGACGCGGTTGGGAAAACCCGAGAGTCCCCGACAAGAGGAGGGGGACGGAGGACTGGCTGGGCCAGGAGGAAGCAGAAATTCGACCATCCTTCCAAGTTTGCTCTCAAGTCAGCGAGTATCCCTCCTGCTGGTGTGTTGTATCCCTCTACTCTTCCCTTCGTCTCACAGCTGCTCTCCTGTGCTCTCTCGCAGCCTCTCGCTCCTCTCCTCTCGCTCCGCTCCCCCTTCACTTCCCGTCTCCCGACATGCCACGTGCGGAGCACAAATACTTCTCTGGTCTTCCATCATCCTGGTTACTCCTTCACTTCCTCCCATCCATGCATGTGACATAGTCAATAGCCAATATCTGTAGTCAATATGTTAAGGTATTCTAGTCAATTTTCGGTTTTGAAATTCGGTTGCCATGGCGGGAGCAGGGGACAGGCGGCGGCAGAAGAGGAGGGGAAAGAGAGGAAGGAGAGGAGAGGAAGGGAGAGGAGAGAGAGTCAAAGATAGTACGAGATGTCGAGAGACTTGTTTGTGAAATGAAGAGATCAAGAGAGGAGAGAGCGAGTTGAAGGCAATGGGAGAGGGAGAGAAACTGAGATAGGAGGAGCCATCATGATAGTGGAGATGGAACTGCAGCGGAGGAGACTGCATGCGAGCGAGCAATATTAAGTAGGGAAGATAAGTGTTGTAAACAATAAGTTGAAGCGTACAGAAAGAAGTTTACAGGGACAGGGGGAGAGCAGATGGTTTCCATTCGTCACAGCAAACTGATGCACAAGATGTTTTGAAGAAGAATCTTGTCCTGCCCATGTTCGACTCCTCATGAGCAGTCAGAGCTGATGTTTTTCTTGCAGTTGTTACTATAGCGCATGTCTGTGAGGAGGACGGTAAGTTTTCTGCCATCGAACTCTTCCCGACGTCTAATGACTCGCACTTTCTTCACCCCTAGGCAAGTCGAGGAGAGGCAGCGGAGGAGGATGGGGGAGACGAAGGCTCTCGAGCTCCATCAGCAGCAGGAGGAGAAGGAGGACTGGAGGCGCCGAACCCAGCTGTGCTCATGCCGGACATCTTGGAGAAGTTGAAATTGTTGGGGTACGAGGAGTTTGCGGACGAGCATGTGGAGCGATGGAGGCTGCATGCGGCTTACTTCGTGGTCCCTCACCCCAAGCCGAACGAGCAATTCTTCTTCTTCACCTCTCTCTTTGCCTGGCTGATGAAGCTGAATCGGTTCAACTTTGCGAAGCCTGATAGGGTGACGATTTTCTTTCCTTCCTGCACCTGCACTTCTCCTCTCTCCTTTCCCTCTTCACCTCCTCTTGTCTCCTCCCCCCTCCCCCCCTTCTTCCCTCCTCCCTCCTCCCTCCTCCCTCCTCCCTCCTCCCTCCTCCCTCCTCTCCTCTCTTTCCTTTCTCCAGCTCTTAATCCACATCTCGCTCACAGTTCGAAGACCCCAACATCACCACCCGCAACATCCTCGAGGGAGTGAAGAGAGCCAAGATCGCCTTCGACTACCCGGCAGCGAAGCTGAAGCAAGGACACGGCGAAGCTGTCTGTGTGCTCCTCAACCTCCTCTGCAATGCTGCCATCGACGCCCAAGGTAGGCATTCGGAGGGAAGGAGCGAGGGAAGGGAAGAGAGGAGGGGAGCGAGCGAGGGAGAGAGGAGTTGTTCAGGTGCTGACGTTCAAATGTGTAACAGGGATCCGCCTTGCTCCTCCTACTTATCCCTCCGATTCTTATCCCGAAGAGGCGCCAGTGGACGAGGAGGAAGAGGTGGGAACGGACATTGCTGACACGGTGAGAGCAAGTTGGCGACTGGTCTTGTTCTGAACCCGAGCAGGTGGCGGTGAACGAGGAGGAGGAGGATGAGACGTACTCTGGCGCGATTGGATCTGTCGAGAGCAAGAGAGAGGAGGTGAGTCCGGATCGCGGCAGTCAGGTGGACTGTTGAGGAGGAGGACTGAATGTGCGGAGGCGAAAATGAAGATGATGGAGTGAGGGCAGGGAGGAAGGAGGAGACTTGTGCAGAGATCGAAAAGGAAGAGGAAGGAGGGAGAGGCAGGAGGGGATGAGGAGAGGGAGAGGGAGAGAGGGAGAGGCAGGAACAAGAGTGGGAGGAGGTCGCTGCTGAAGTTGCAGCAGGTCTCACGGGAAAACAAGATTCTCGAGTCAGCAACGGACCCGAATGCCTGGAAGGTGAGCAGAGAAGAGTCGGTTAGAGAGAAGCAGGGACGAAGAGGGGGAGACAGGAAGGGGAGGGGAGGGGAGGAGAGAGGAGTTGGACAGGGGTGAGAGCAGGAGAGGGGAGGGGAGGAGAGGGGAGGAGAGGGGAGTTGAACAGGGGTGGGAGCAGGGGAGGGGAGGGGAGGAGGGGGGAGTTGGACAGGGGTGGGAGCAGGAGAGGGTCTTTACAATCGTATGTGGCAGATTGAGGTGGAGAATGTTGCTCCCCTGTTGAAGATGAGGGTTGAGATCGACAACAAGGAGTGGCGGACTCATCTTGGTCATAATTTCCTCACCCCTTCCCTCCCCTGCTCCCTCTTCCTACTTGCTCCTGCTCCTGCTCCTGCTCCTGCTCCTGCTCCTGCTCCTGCTCCTGCTCCCTATTCCTTCTCCCCGCCTTCCTTCCTCCTTCCTTTTCTTCCCGTCCACCAATGTCTCTTCTCCTACCGTCCACTCCCCTCCTCCCTTCTTCACTTGTTCTCTTTCTCTTCATCCTCCTTTCCAGCTGATCTCGTGCTGCCTTGACGTGCCATCTCTCACTCACTGACTCCCTCCAGAACAAACGAAAGAGCTGCAAGGAAACATCGAGAACAAAGTGAGTGTGGCTGATCCCTGCCTCCTCCCCCTCCCTCCTCCTCCTCCTCCTCCTCCTCCTCCCCCTCCCTCCTCCTCCTTCCTCCCTCCTCCCTCCCCCCCCCCCCTCCCTCCCCCTCCCCCTCCCCTCCTCCTCTTCCTCTTCCTCCTCCTCCTCCTCCTCCTCCTCCTCCTCTCTTGCTCTTCTGTCCTCATCTCTGTTTCTGCTTCGTCTTACTTGGACTCCCGTAGGTCCCGTCCACGCAGGATCATCTTGGCAAGTTGTCAAACACCATCCAACAGGTCGCCACGATGGGAGGAGGCGAGATGGGGGCAGGGAGGAGGAGGAGGAGGAGGAATGGAGAGCAGGCTGTGAAGAAAGGGCAGGGAGAAGCGCGGGGGGGAGGAAGGAGGATGAGTTCTCCTGACGTTTTTGCAGGCAATCGAAAGTATCAGCACGCGAGAGAAATATCTGAATTCACAGTACAAGAACTTGATGCAAGAATACCATGAGGTAAGGGAAATGAAGGAGTAAGAGGAGTTGGAGGTGGAGGAGGAAGGGAGGGAGAGGAGGGAGGGAGGGCGAAGAGGAAGGGGAGGGAGTGGTTGTTGGTTTGTGGTGGGAGGATGACATCTTGTGCAGGTGCAGGAGCAGTTGGAGGAGGTAACAAAGAAATTCGATGAGAGGAACAGAGACGTCTCGGAGCGGTCGAACCAGCTCACACAAATTACAGGTGAGAGGACAAGAGGGGGAAGAGAGAAGCAGAGGGGAGGAGAGAGGGAGAAGAGAGGAGGGGGGGACAGCAGGGGAGAGGACAGGTGCTGATGGTGTTGCAGAAAATCTCGAGCAGATAAAATCTCAGATGGACGAGCGAGGGGAGAGCATGACGGATACGGTTCCGCTCCTCCTCCTCCTCCTCCTCCTCCTCCTCAACTTTTTCCCAGGGCCCCTTGGTGAAGCTGAAGGAAGCCATGAAGAAGGTGAAGAAGGAGATTAAGGTAAACCTTGTCCTCCTCCCCTGCTTCCGCTCTTGACGCCTCCTAGGACATGGACTTAAGGATCGGGACTGTTTCTCATACCCTCCTCCACATCCGCATGCAGCAGGTGCCTTGTCTCTCTTTCCTCCTCCTGTGCTGATACATGATGAGCAGGGGACGGTTGAAGATGAGAGGAATAAGTCAAGAGAGCGAGAGGAAGACGACGACGACTAATTCCTTTGTTTGCACATATACCCAAGAGAAACCTGCTCCTGCTCCTACTGATCCTAATCCTCATATTCTTTCTCCTGTTCATCATATTCCTGCTCCTGCTCCTGCTGCCCTCCTGGCCTGATGCTTGCTCTGCTTCCTCTGCGACAAGAGATTTCCTTCTCTACATGTTCATGTCGCGTGCACGCGCGAGTGTTCCCTTAGAGCGATACTGCAAGGAAAGTCATGCAAGGAGAGGAGGGGGAAGGCGATGGGACGGGAAGGCAGCAAGGGAGGGCATGACGGTAGAGGCGAGAGCAAAAGAGAGTAGCGGGGAGGAAGGGACGGAGAACTGGCGAGGACGAGAGGGGAAGTAGGAATAACCTGCTGAAAGCAGCTCGAGCACAAAGTTTGTCCCATGAGCTCCGACCTGGAGAGAAAATGAGAGGAGGAGCAGCAGCGAAGATGGATGAGCTTGACGGGAAGAGGAGCAGGGGTGGAAGACGAGGGACGAGGTGATACCAGTCGCGACCGCCGGAGGCCGTATGCTGACTGACAAAGTGCCTGCGGGGAAATAAACGAGAGGAATCGACGAGGGAGAAAACCGAGAAACAGGAGCAGAGTAACAGAGTTGAGGGTAAGGAACAGCAGACAGGAGATAGTGTTGAAAGGAAGGAGGAATATTAGGAGGAGGAGCGAAGAGAAGAGAGGAGCGAAGAGAGGAGCGAAGAGAGGAGAGGGGGAAGGAGATTGGAGGGGAGGGGGCTGGGGAGAGGGATGTCAAGGGAAGGGAAGGGAAGGTGAGATGGCTTCACCATCTATCGTTGGAGGAGACAGTAGGGTGAGGGCAGAGTGCATACGAGCATCGCTCCTGCAGAAGAATGTCATGTACTCGTAGCTTCAAGTCAAGTCACTTGCCTGCTTCGTCCCCATCGCCTTGCTCGATCCCTTCGGCGCCAGAATGATACCTTTCCTCGACTTGAAGCGACACCTAGCGTCTCGTCATCCTCCTCCTCCTCCTCCTCCTCCTCCAGTACCAGAAGAGGAAACGACAGCGGCAAACTTCTCCACATGGCAGCCCATCGTCGCACACGAAGCCAGAGGCCACTTTGTCTCCTCCAACATCGAAACTGTCCACGACAGCCTCTCCTGCAGCCCCAGCTCCAGCTCCAGCCCCAGCTCCCCCGCCCCCCGCTCCTCCAACTTCCCCTGTCATGTGAGACGCCTTTACTTCTGCACCTTTCTTGGACCTCGACTTGTTCTGGAAGGCAGACTCCGTTGGAGCAAACAGCTTCGTGTGCTGACGTGCCCGTTGGGGACGAGCTGCGGAGAGTCCAGCAGCCCTCAGAGCTCCTGCTCCCTCCCAAGGAGCAAGTTGATCAGCCATGCCGTCCCAGTTGTCGGTGACGGCGACGTCGTGATCGGGCAGGTCAATCCATTCCTCCTCGTCATCGTTGTACTTGATCTTGTAGCATCCATTCTCTCTCTCCTTATCGTATCCAACTATCATTCCATGATACCACTCTTGGTCGTCAAACCAGAACACTTCAACCTTCTTCCCCACCCACTGCTGTCCATCGGAGAAATCCTTCATCCCCTGATGTTGAGGGGGGGCGATCTCTTCCTTGAAACGCTCGTCGAAACTCTTTGCGAGCTTGAAAGCATCCGTTGCCAGAGGAGAGTCGATCCCGTTGTAAAGAATGCAGTTCTTCCAAACCAGAGTAACGTCCTTGCGGACATCGTGCGCTGTCTGATACGACCCATCGACAAGCTGATCCACAATCGTTCCCAAATCCATCGGGTTCTCAATGACTTGTCGATAGTCTGGTACAGTCCTTGTGTCCACCGGGCAGTTGAAGATATCAGCTGATTTCTTCTTCCTGAGCTCTTCGAGGATCAAGAAACATTTGCTGGACGAGAAACTCAGGGGAGGTTGAGCAGGCATCGAGTTTACCTGAGAGGGTGAAGGTCGCCAGACATAATCTTGGACTTCTTGTTCGGAGTAGCTTTGCGTGGCTCAGCAGCCTGTGGCAAGTCAGGCGATGGGGGGGCACGAGGATCACCTACCTTTCGTTTTGATCCTCCCTTGAAGCTTCGACCTGTGCACCGAAGTCAGAGAAGGCGAGAGGAGCTACGGAGAGGGGAGGAGGAGGAGGAGGAGGAGGAGGAGGAGGAGGGGGAGGCAGCGAGCAAGTCAGAACGACCTTTGGACTGAGAGGATTTCTGAGCAGCATCAGCGTCTGACTTCCCGTTCCCGGTGCCGAAATCAAACCTCGAGGCCTCATCCTCATCGATCTCCTTAGCTTCGAGGAACTTCTTGACGTCGTAGATGGTTTTCAGCACCACCTGCCTGTCAGTCTCCACCCCCGACTTGAGCACGAACTCGATCTCGAAGCTCTTCCTGTGCGATCCCTTCTTGCGATACTTGACCTGGCGCTCGAACATGTACCTCGTCACCCCGTCGGTCACCGTGATCACCTCATGCTCCTTAGAGGGAGACGAGCTTGACTTCTTGTGGTGAGATGTTTGCTTCTTGGATTCTGCCTCCTCGTCGCTCCCGTCGCTGTCTCCTTCGTCCATGCTGTCGGGTTCGCTGGCATCCGAGGTATCGACCAGGTCAGCAGCGGCATGCTCCTCGGATCCGGATTCACTGTCATGCATTTGCTCGTGAAACTCATCGTCGCTGTCATCATCGGGCATCTGAGAGCAGAGAGGTCAGCAACACAGATGATGCAGGCAACACGAGGACGCGCGAGCGACAAATCGGAACAAAAGGGGACGGAGGTGGGGGGGGGGGGGGTGGGGGGGAAGCAGTTGTGGAAGTTGACAACTGTTGTGTAGGTGGGAAGGTGCGAGGAGGAGAGTGGAGAGGGAGGGGACAGGAGGACAATTAAGGGGGGGTTGGCACTGGCAGGGGGCGGGGAGGGGCAGGGGAGCGGAGAGGGGAGGGAAGAGGAAAACCACTACTGCTGCTCTCAAAAAAATCATTGAGTAGCATTTAATTTTACTCACATGGCGAAAACAGATACAAGACAAGCAATCCGACACATGCTTTTCAAGAGAAGACAAACAGGGGAGGAAGCTCGCAAGTCATGCAGCAACAGCAGCATTCAAGTTCGCTCATACATCGTCATCAGCCTCCTGGCATTCGCCTCTCCCCCATTCCTCTTCCTCGTACCCACAAACCTACCATGTCGAGGGGCAGCGGGAAAAACAGGTCGTCCTCCTATCAATCCTGCAAATGTGCCAAATTATTCTCGTTATTTTCAAATTTATTGATCCTGTTTTGAACATATAACATTTTTTGAAAAAAACTCTTTCACCCACTTCAAATCTGGACTACCCCGACAACTCCTACAGTCTACCCCACCCCCCAAGCTGCGACCCCCCATTATGGCGAAGCCACGAGCGGTGAAGATGGAGGTCCTAACGGGAGAGGCCCGACTCTTCTCTCTTCCTTCTCCTCCTCCCCTGCTCCTCTCCTCATGGGAGCCCCTGTCCTCAAGCTGGGCGAAGAAAGACTCCCTTCCTCGCGTCCTGGAGGCTCTGAAGTGAGTTTTGTTGCGCTCATACTTTCAATCCTGTCCCTTCCTCCGCCCTTTCGATGTTCAAGATGATGTAATAGTGAACATCCTATGGAATCTTCGAGATCTTGTCTTGTGTATTCCATCACATGGGCTCATCGTCAGATGACTTTCTGCAGGATATCGCGGCCCCCACGAACTGTTGAAGCCTTTACCGCACCCATGGCTGTGGCAGGACATTTCGTCGAAACATACACATACGACAAGGAAGCGATGGAGAATTGTATCGCACTGTCAATATTTCATTACCTGCAAGCTGCACAGGATCACAAGCTACAAGCTCTGGTTGTAACTAGCAAAGACAGCCTATCAGATGATCTGTACAACGCCTTGACAAGTGTTGCTGGTTTGTTGAGCTTCGTACCCAAGATTGCGAAAAGCTGCAGCAATGATGCTCATGTATGTATTGTTAGCGCATCAGAAATCGCCAAAGCATCCAATCTTCCGTCGTTCAAAGTTGCCATTGTTGCAAATGTCGATGAGATATACGACAAGTCTGCTGATAGCCTCGACAAGATAGCTTCTGCAATTTCTACTTCCAATCAGGATCGCAGCGACAATTGCATTCTAATATTTTCTACTAAAAATCCTTCGGACGAGGTCTGAGACATACCTCGGAGCAAACAGATTGAAGGAGTGATCGGATCTACAGGTTGAATCCAAGGCGTTTGCTCTGCGTAAGTTTCAAAAAACTCTGTTCCAAAAACGTCCCTACGCTGAATTGGAGGATGCAAAGGACCTGATAAACTTTCTCAAAAGGTGATTCTGACTGTGGGAATTATTTCTTGGCTTATCTCTTGCCATCTACAGGGAGGGAATCAAAATCCCGTCCCAGCACCTTGAACAAGCTGGGTGCTACGATCTCCATAGCCTGCGCTCCTTGGATCCTCAAAGTGAGTTGACTGGCTTCTTTCCTTGCACTTTTCTCGCTGTGACTTCTTGAATCTCCTGCAGTCCTTCTCGAGACTCTTGGCAGCGAGCTCTCAATACAACTGGTGAGGGAGACCTTTCGAACTACAACAGCTGCCAACTTTCATCTCATCATCTACCACAGATGAGTTCGTTAGAGAAAGATCAAGTCGCCGAGGCGCTCGAGCACGATGTGCCGCAATTCGACATTGCAAGTGGAATGTGGGAATGGACTCCTGACTCCGTCGAGAGGTTCCCTCTGGCAACTGGCGCCTCAACCCCTCTGAACTCTACCCTTGCTGCAGTTGGACGGCCAAGGGCCTTGACAAGAAATACATTCACACGGAGCCGGACGGGTCGATGTGGATCTTCAGTGCAGCGCTCAACGTCATATACTCTCAGTCTGCGAACATGAACGCTGCTCCCTGGGATTTAGGTTTGCTAACGCTACCTGCCCTCCCTTGCTCTCCTCCTCGGTAGAGCATGTGGCAGGCATCGGTCTGACTTGGTGTGCAGATCCAAATTTGGAGTGCTACTCTCCAAGCGAAGGCTCTGAAGGATACGACGAGGATGATTACGAATCGGGTGAGTGTCCGGGGGCCAGGATGCTCCAGTGAAGCTGTGTTCGCAGGTGATGGGTTGCCTCCTCTCAGCGGGGAGCTGTCCGCATTCTTGGGGTCCCTGGACGTCGATCCGTCGCAGAAGGAATACCTGTCGTACACCCTGGCTGTAATCCTTTGCTGCTGCACATCGTGCCCGAAACTGATCTTGATGCCCAGTCCGCTGGGTTAGAAACGGTCGAGCAGCTGCGAGAGATCCGGTGGTCCATGACGCAGGTCTTGGGCATCGACTTTGCACTAGCTACAGCAATCAGTCAAGCTCTTTAACTGTATACTCGTTCTTATATCATCTTGGTCGAATCCCCGCCGATTTTCACCTGTGTCCTCCACTCACAATCTTCATCATCATACATCATCATCATACATCATTATACATCATACATCATCATCCTCGTACATCATCATCATAAATTATACATCATTATCATAATACATCGTCGTCATCATCATCATACATCATCATCATCATACATCACACATCACACATCATACAACATCAAACAACATCATACATCATACATCATCATACATCATCATCATCATACATCATCATACATCATCATCATCATACATTATACACTCCTCTACCTCGCCTGGCATTCCTCCTCCTGCCAAAAGCGCCGGTAACGTGACTGGTACGTGACCAGCTTCACGTGTCCTTGCCAATGGCACAGCTTGGTTTTATCGGCGAAGAAGCAACCGAGGTGCGAGGAGGGCAGAGGAGGGAGGGGGGGGAGAAGGAGGGAGGTAGTAGGGAGGAAGAGGATGGATGGAGGATGTGGAGAGAATTGGCAGGAAGGAAGATGAGGGAGGGAGGGAGCGAAGGAGGGAGCGAGGGAGGGGGAGAGTTGGAAGAGAGAAAGTGGGGTAAAGTAACAACACGATTAAACACGAGAAGTTTGTTGAGAGCAGCGAGGAACAAGGAAGTTCGTGGCAAGAATGAAAGGAGAGACTGGCACATGCATGTTCATGGGGCAGATTGTTACTGCGGAAATGTTCTAAGTAAACATGATTGATTGATGATTACAGCCGAAGCCAGAAGACTCGATAGCAGGAGGAAATCCATGCTGGATTGAAGGGATCGACGTAGACTTCCCGATCACGTGTTAAGAAGAGCGCACCATTTCTTGAAATCTGAAGTACTTACAGTTGTGATGCTTGCAACAACAATCTTTACTTGTTGCTCCAACTCAACACAGACACCAACGTGCTGAGAAGAAACCTTTACGTGAGGATGTCATGCAACTTCTCTTCCAATGAATTTTTGTGACCTGTGCATTTTTCAGCTGTTTGCATGTGTAAGAAGTAAATGTCAAAGTCAACCAGGATCCTGGAAGGCGTTAAGAGTTCAGAAACGCTGGAACAAGCTTGACGACGACATCTCATCTGAGCATCAACAAGTGAAAGTGCAGCCAAACTCCAAACCTCAGCCACGACCGCTCTTTACCAAGGATGATGCAGCCTGGGGGTGCGAGGACGCGAGTGACTGGAACGAAGGAGGTGCTGTAGCATTACCACAACCAGCAGCAGCATGTAGCGACGGAGGAAAGAGTTCGGCTCCTGAAGGAGATGCTGGTGAGGACAACTGGGGCATGGAAGAGGCGGGGGATCGAAGTATCCCTCAAGATCTCCTCTCTCTCCAGCAGAAGGTGCAGGACATGAAGATGAATGCGGGCAGAGACGCCGAAGGGCAGCATGCTGACGCTGAGAGCGACAAGGCTGGGAGGAGGAGGAAGAAGAAGGGAAAGAATCAGTCCGGAGCAAAGGCTGGATTGGATGTGGGAGCGGCGGAGTTTGTTCCGGTAGGAGAGACAGAAAGGAGGAGGAGGAGGAGGAGGAGGAGGGGAGGGGGGGGAGGGGAGAGGAGGAGGAACGAACCATGTTGTTGTTGTTGGTGCTGATGTTGGTGCTGCTGCTGCTGGTGGTGGTCATGCAAATGAATGATGAGTTGGAGGCGAGGGACTTCATATAACATGAATTGCAAGGTTATGGCTGGAGTATTCAATGCAGAGTCTGATAGTCACTCATCGAACCAAGGCGAACAAGTGAAAGCTTTCTTTCCCTGCTATTACATGTAGGGATGCTGCTGATTGGGGAGACAAATCGATTCGATCCTGCTGATAGTGACATGCAGCGAGTACGATGCCGAGCCGGAGCCGGAGGAGGACAAAGACTTGGCGAAGTAGTCACTGCAGTGCACGAAGCCTGTCTCTTCTTATCCCGGCCCTTTCAGGTACAAGGAGCTGGCGGAGCAGGTGGTTGCCGAGCTCAATGAAACTTCGGGAGGGGGCAGCGCTGCCCTGTGGAGTGGAGAAGAGCACGAGTCAACTAAAGGAGACAAACAGTGCGTCGCTCCTCCTCCTCCTCCTCCTCCTCCTCCTCCTCCTCCTCCTCCTCCTCCTCCTCCTCTCTCGCTTGCTCTTGTTCTAGTTCCCACCGTCCACCTCCTGTTCTCTTTTCGATAATCCTCCCCTGCCTCCTCCTCTCCTCTCCTCTCCTCTCACTCTTCCTGCCAGCTTCTCTCCTCATTTCTTTTGTCAGGTTCCGCAAGTTCCGCAAGCGTGTAGCAAGAGCGCCTGAGCAAGTCCTCCGGTACTGCTGGAATGGCGAGCCGCTATGGCAGAGCTCGGAAGCGCAGTGTACCGAAGTCCCGCCATGCCCCCGGTGCGGGTCGAGCCGAGTGTACGAGATGCAGGCGATGCCGGGCCTGTTCTACGAGCTCGGGGTCGAAGCCTTCGCTCCCAAGGGAGATGAAGGGATGGACTGTGGGGTAGCGATCATGTGAGACCGAAGATGTGGAGGAGGAGGAGGAGGAGCGAGGAGGAGAAGGAAAGATGTGGTGGTGGTGGTGGTGGTGGTGGTGTGGAGGAGGAGGAGCAGGTGGTGACTTGCTGTTTCAGATACTCCTGCTCGTCAAGTTGCGGCTCCTCGGGACAGGCGGATGGCGATGGGAGCGGCGAAGATTTCGTTTTCATCCAGCGCGATACGCTTGTCGGCTAATGCTCCGCCGGATCCTTGCATTCCATGAACGAACTTGATCTGTCGACTTCCTCCTCGTCCTCGTCCTCGTCCTCGTCCTCGTCCTCGTCCTCGTCCTGCTGCTCCTGCTCCTGCTCCTGCTCCTCCTGCTCCTGCTCCTCCTCCTCCTCCCCCTCCTCCTGCTCCTCCTCCTGCTCCTCCTCCTCCTCCTCCTCCTCCTCCTCCTCCTGCTCCTCCTGCTCCTCCTGCTCCTCCTCCTCCTCCTCTACTCCCTACTTCTCCCCTTCGTCTCCTCTTGCTCCCGCTCATGCTCACTTGCTCGTCCCCGACAGTCTGCTGGGGAAGGGAGAAGCGGTGAACTGGGTGGGGTACTGCATTACAGACTACCCGTATATGTCGTATATAAAATCACCGGTGTTGGGTTAGTTTCGAGCAATGCACCCCTCACCAAGGTAGGGTGGTTGGGATCTGTAGCGATGATGTCAGAGGGATGGCCGCATGTTGTGGAGAATAAGTGGAGGCAGGAGGAGGGGAGGAGGAGGACGAGGACGAGGACGAGGACAACTGTGAGAGCTAGGGCAACGGAGAGTAGCAGCAGGAGCAAGGGCAACGGAGAGTAGCAGCAGGAGGAGCTGGAGGAGGTCTATGGTTTGAACAAGGTAGAGATGGATCAAGAGACCTAGAAGGCTTCCAGCGAACATTGGCGGGGAAGTCACAGCTCTTGTAGATAGGCAGGCAGGCAGGCAGGTTAGAGTGTTTCGTGAGTAGAGAACAACTATCGGTAAGGATGAAAAGCTAACAAAGCATCAAGATGCAAGGTAGAGGCAGAGGAGGAGGCAGAGAGGTTAAGGTAGTAGATAACATGTCAGGGGGCAAGAGTGAGAATCATATGAGTCCTCACCTTGAAACCGAAGAGAAGAAACGTTACGACAACAAGTGACTTGCACTTGAGATCAGGCATGTCCAAAGCGCTCGCTTCTGCTATCCTTCAGAAGGGTCCTCCTGCATTGAGCGGCAAGACCATCACCTATGGCACCGCAGGGTTCCGCGCCAAGTGAGTGGTGGAGGTAGGAGGATGCCTGCTTGCTCATGGTGTCTGTGAGCAGTGCCGACATGCTGGAGTGCGTCATGTTCCGAGTCGGAGTCGTCGCGGCCCTCCGATCGCTGCAGACCCACAAGGTTGTGGAGGAGCCGCGGGCGGACTTGTGTGCTTGCCTCTGACCTGAGGATGAGATGGTGGGGGTGATGGTCACGGCGTCACACAACCCGGCAGCGGACAACGGGAGCAAGATCGTCGACCAGGATGGCGGGATGCTGGTGCATGAGTGGGAAGTCTTCGCTACGAGACTTGCAAACTCGACGGACGAGGCTGACATGAGCTCGACCATCGACAGTTTCTACCCGGTGAGGGAGTAGGAGGAAGTGAAAGTTCTTGTCCTTCTCACCTCCTCATTCCTTCCAGGACTTCAACAGCCAGGCCGCTGGTGGCTCTGCTACCGTCGTCCTCGGAAGGGACACCCGCGTCAGCTCTCCGAAGCTGGCAGAGCTCGTGAAGCAAGGGATCCTGACCTGCGGTGATAGAGGAGGGGGAGTTTGCCGTTGGCATGACACGTGTGGGGGTGAAGGAGCCAAAGTTGTCGACCTGGGTATCGTCACAACACCTCAGGTGACTTCCGTCCTCCTCCGTTACTCCCTCTCCCTCCCCCTCTCCCTCTCCCTCCCCCTCTCCCTCTCCCTCTCCCTCTCCCTCTCCCTCTCCCTCTCCTTCTCCCTCCCCCTCTCCCTCGCCCTCTCCCTCTCCCTCCCCCTCCCCCTCTCCCTCCCCCTCTCCCTCCCCCTCTCCTTCTCCCTCTCCCTCCATCTCCCCCGCTCTCATCATTATCCTCGTCTGCTCTTCTCGCTCCTCCCCTGCCTTTTTCTCATGCTCATACTCAACACTGGTTCTCCGTGGCATATCCACCTTGTCCTCCTCCTCCCTCTGCTCTTCTCTCTCCTCCTTCCTCCTCCTCTCCTCCCTCTCCTCCAACTGCTCAACGCAATCCTCCCCTTCCTCCCTCCTCCTCATAAATTCTTCAAGGTCCATTGGGCTGTTCTGCGTGCAAACCAGAAGGGAGACGGTCAAGTTCCTCCTCTTCAAGGATACTACGAGGAGGTGAGGAGAAGCAGGAGGAGGAGCGGGTGGGGACAGGAGAGACAAGTAGGAAGGGGAGAAGGAGCAGAAGGGAGAGGGAGGAAGGAAAGAGGAGAAGCAAGAGGATGTGTACGAGGGGAGGAGGAGGAGGAGAGGAGGGGAGGAGTGGAGGAGGAGGGCCTCTCATGAATCTTGACATGCCATCCAGCACGCACAGGCCCTGAAGGTTCTTCTTGGATCTAAACAGACAAACGTGAAGGTGAGGAGGGGCAAAGAGAGCAGAGCAGAGCAGAGCAGAGCAGAGCAGAGCAGAGCAGAGCAGAGCAGAGCAGAGCAGAGCAGAGCAGAAAGAGATGTTGCATTCGCAGTTTGCAAGCAAGTGGATCAGCAAGTGAAGAGAGGCAGGAGATTGTTGGGATGATTTTTATTGGTAATATGCTGATCATCTCCTCTGACCATGGCAGTTTCACGTTGACTGCGCCAATGGAGTTGGAGCGAAGGCTGTGGAAGAAATGAACAAGACCTTGAGGTTTCGTCTTGTCTCCTGCTCCCCCTCCTCTTTCTGTTCCTTCCCTTCCTCCCGCTCTACTCTTCTACGCACTCCGCTCCCTCCCTTCCACTCTCCTTCCACATCCCACATCCTCCCATCTCCCTCCTTCCCCTCCCCTACCGTCCCTCCTTTTCCTCCCTCCTTCCTTCCTACCTCGCTCAACCTGTCGCTCTTCTCTTCCACTGACCGGAAGGACAGCGAGCATTCCATCGGCTTCTCCCTCGTCCCCTTCAACGTTGGGGATGGGGACCCTGAGCTGCTCAACGAGGGATGTGGAGCAGAGCACGTGCAGAAGTAAGAGGAGGCAGAAGACGGAGAGGCAGGAAGGAAAATGAGGAGGAAAGGAGGGATGTAGATGAGGAAGAGGGAGGAGGGAGGAATGACAATGAGGCAGAAGGAGGGACGAGGGGAAAGGAGAAAGAAGAAGGGAGGAAGGAGGTGAAAGGGGAGGCAGTAGGTGAAAGGGGGGGCAGGAGGGGAAAAGGAGGAGGGAGGAGGTAGAGGACGACTAGATACTAACAGGACGAGCAGGAGCAGGAAGCTTCCATCAGGTGTACCGGCGTCAGGGGGGAACGATAAGTTTGCGAGCTTCGACGGAGATGCTGTGCGGCCCTCTTCACTCCTCCCCCTCCTTCCTCGGACTTCCTCCCTCCTTCTCCCCCTCCTTCCCCCGACTCACTCCTCTTCCTCCCTTACTTCCCCCTGTTTGTCCTGTTTTACTTCCTCCTCTTCTTCCTCCCTCCTTGTGTATCTCCTTCCCATTTTTCTGCTCCACTTCTGATGCCCATACCTCTCAGGATCGTGTGGTCGTCTGGTACAAAAAGGACAGCAACCTCGTCCTCCTCGATGGCGACAAGATCGCAGGTGCTCTAGAGAGATGGAGGGGACGAGGACAAGGAGGAGGACAAGGAGGAGCAGGGAGGAGAGATGAAGATGAGAGGAGGGCCGGAAAGGGGGTGCAGGAGAGGAGGAGGCGATCTTATTAAACCTGCAGCACTATTTTCCGTCTACCTGTGCCACCTCCTCGATGCCAGCAAGCTGAAACTTTCGCTCGGGATCGTTCAGGTGAATGTTAAGCCCCCAATCTTCCTGCTCCTGCTCCTGCTCCTGCTCCTGCTCCTGCTCCTGCTCCTGCTCCTGCTCCTGCTCCTGCTCCTGCTCCTGCTCCTGCTCCTGCTCCTGCTCCTGCTCCTGCTCCTGCTCCTGCTCTTCCTCTTAGTTTGCCGCTTTTCCACTCCTCCCTCCATCTCGTCTTGACCTCTTCTACCTCTCCCTCACTCCACTTACCTTCACAGACGGCCTACGCCAACGGCTCCTCTACCTCGTTCATGTCTTCCGTTCTCGCCAAGCATAAGGAGAACGTGACAGGGGAAGTGAGCTGTGTGGCCACGGGGGTGAAACATCTTCATCATCAAGCGCTCCACTATGACATCGGCGTCTACTTCGGTCACTTCCTCCTCCTCCTGCTTCCTCCTCGACCTCTCCTCGCATTGTTCTCATTCACTGTCTTCTCCTTGATCCCCTTCTCTCCTTCCCTCTCCTCTTCCAAACAATCCCACCGCCGCCGCCACCACCACCACCACCACCTGCTGCTGCTGCTGCTGCTGCTGCTCCACCACCACCACCACCACCTCCTCCTCCTCCTCCTCCTCTTCCTCCCTCTCTCGTCTAACCTGAGTGAGCAGAGGCTAACGGGCACGGGACCGTCATCTTCAGCGACTCCGCTCGCTCCAAGATCGAGGAGAGGAGCAGAGGAGGCGATGCTGCTGCGCAGACACTGCATGCGTTCGCCTCCCTGATCAACCCAGCGATTGGCGATGCCCTCTCTGACCTCCTTGCCGTCATGGTAGTAGAGATTCTCATTCCTTTCCTCTCCTCCCTCCCCGTTCCGTTGGCCTCCTTTCTCTATCCATCCCTTCCTCCCTCTTCCCCTCCCTCCCCCTCCCTCCCTCTTCCCCTTCACTTATCGTGGCATCCTCTTCCTCCCTGTCTCAGCAGCCAAGAGCTGATGCTTTTCTCCTCCAGGTGGTCTTGGAGGTGGAGGGGATCTCGCTCGAGCAGTGGGCGGGATACTACGAGGACCTTCCTTCCATCATGACCAAAGTTCTCGTCAAGGACCGCAACGCCATCAAGGTCTGTGAACGCTGCTTGGATGGAGGACACGTGGAGGGATGGAGGAAGGGAGGAGGAGGAGGAGGAAAGGAGGAAGAGGATGGCGGGAGGATGGAAGGAGGAGTGAAGCCTGTGTACAGACGACCAAAGACGAGCAGCGCGTTACTGAGCCCAAGGAGCTTCAGGATGCTGTTGACGCCGCCGTCAGCAAGGTGGAGCAAGGACGATGCTTTGTCCGCCCGTCAGGTACCGAGGACTGCGTGAGAGTCTACGCAGAAGCAGGGAAACAAGAGACAGCCAACAAGCTCGCTGAAGACGTTGGGACTGATATCACTTTCCCTTCGCTCTAATCTCACTACTGACGCAGGTTGGCGAACATGTGAAGCGCATTCTTGGTTGAACATGAAAACTAACTTGTTGAGATCGAATAAACCCCTTTATTCCTACAAGCTCTTCTCAGAGGATTTTGTCCATCTGATCTGTTTAGTAGACTCCGTAGCCGTGGACGTTGTACTGCAAAAGAAACGTCAGAAATTGCCTCCCTTCGCTGCAGCCGTTCAGCACTCACGTTGGGCCAGCTGGACCAGTCGACGGGAACCCAGGTGGTGTGAGCCTGGGGGTTGAAGGATCCGGAGGAGGGATCAGACTCGTAGGGGTGGATGGTCACAGCAGGGTTGCCATCGGTCTGGAGGAAAGCGCCCCATGGCTCGTCGGCCTTGTACCAGTTGCCGGAGGCCTTGGTGTCGTACATGGAGTACGGGTCGTTGCGGAGGAAGTGGATGGGGGCGAAGATCATCCTGAGAGGAGCAAGTCAGTCAGGGAAATCTTGCTGCACGGCAGATTGATGCATCATAGTCAACGCATTATCAAAACTGAATATATAAAATGGACAGTAGAGAGAATGAATGGATTGAAACAGATGATGTTAGTGAGGATGTTGAGTTGTAACAAACCAACTATGCACAAATAATCCTTCCATTTTTGGAGATGTGAACAACATTCCAATGCCAAAAACATTCCACCAACACGAAGAGTGCACAGAACAGGAGCAGCAAGAAGAGACTCATCTCAGCATAGCATTGAAAATTTCAGCAGCAACAGAGGAAGCGCCATGTCCATTTCGTTCTCCGTGTCTGCCGCCATCGTACCTGCTGGGTAGTGGGCGAAGAGGCACCACGCGGCTTTTGACAGAGGGGGAACCACCCCCAACCACCACCCCAACACACTACCCTACCCTGACATCTTACCTTCCTTTTCCTTGTGTGTACCCCTGTTCCGAGCTTATAGAAGTATCACCCCCTAACTCCGAGGCTCTGAGAGGACCTACCCCACCCCCATAATTGGCCTTTGAGTGATACATCTCGGAGCCTGAGTTATGACCACCTCCCCCTTGCCTGGACTACCCCCGGCAACTTCTGGTACAATTCTGGCTACCCGTACAATTCATGATCACCCGGTTATTGCTCATGAAACTACTCACCGGAAGACCACAGAAGAACTTTGAAAGCGGGGGGTAGGAGGGATAGTCTGAAGGCAAGGGGGTGCCATCTAGACTTCTTAGGATGTAGATGGGGGTAGGGTAGTGGTCTGGGGTCACTATTAGCAGTGGAAGGAAACGAGAAGTTCAGCACATGACATTCTCACCAAAAGTTCATGAAAAGAAGCTTTTGCAAGTTCACTGTTCCTCTCAATTGTTCGTCTCGACTCCGCAAAGTTCAGGATCAAAAGATCATCTTTCGGCAAAAGTTCATGTTCTTGTTGTCTCTTCGGTCGCCGCCGGGTCTAGAAGAGACATCGTGCCAGCCTCAGTTACGCTGCCGCCGTTATCTGAAGAAGTAACGGTCAAATCGCAGCCTTCAAGTGACTCGGATTTCGAGCCTGAGCCGGCGCCGCGGCGGCAGGCGGCCGCGCGGCCGGGCCCCGGGCGGTCGCAGGCCCGCGGCGGCTAGTTTTGAACTTGAACGCTCCCCCCCTCCCTCCGGGCCCGGAGTCACGGCGGCGTGACCCGGCCCGGAGCCCCCCGCCCACTGGCATAGCGAGCCGGGCCGCGCCGACTGCGGCTCCCGACTCGAGTCCCGGTCACGGCCTTGCGGCGCACTGCCGGCCTATCCAACTAACAGTCCGACAGTGACGGTGACCGTACGCGGCGGCGTTTCAAAACGGTTTCAATCACCGATCATCATCGGATCTGATTCGAACTTGGCCCGGACTCCGGACCCGGGCCGGCCGCGCCGCGCCGGGGCTCCGACACAGGGTCATGATGAGCCCCGGAACGTGTCAAAAATCCGGCGAAACTTGATGCAGTATAAACCTCGTACAGAAATAGTGTAGTAATCCTAGATGGAGGGTCTTCTACATATATAAAAGTTGAAAACCAGCCAATTACCCTCCAGGAAATACAAATAAACATGATTTATTGAGTAAACTTATTGTTAGAAATTGTTTTTGACTGAAAATTGAAACCCCAGATTTTGCCGTCATTGGTAAAATCAAAGTCCAGGTACCGGTGGCTCTTCGCAAGCGGCATGCAGCGGGTGGCGATCGGGGCGGGGGCAGCCATTGTGGCGATGGCGACGCTCCTGCTGATCTCTGTAAGTGAAGTGAAGAGCATGCGACACTCTTTCATGTAGCATGTCGCATGTCCAAGTTGCAAGCTCCAGAGGACATCCTTGACTGTGCTGAATGTTTGAAGGGGTGCCTTGAACGATACTTGTGTTGCTCGTCGATGTGTAGATGGGGTGGGATAGGAAGTCATGTCTTGTGAGAATATTACCCTTCGATGACTGTTATTGTCATGAATGTGGATCCTATTTTGTTCCAGTTAACATGAACAATTTTGAATCGTACTAGTTGTGTCTGTTACCTGCCGTGAGAGCTGTAATGGCTGCTTTGGTGAAAAAAGAAAAGATGCTTGTTGTATATATCAACTACGACTCAGTGTGCTGATTGAACGTCATTGTTCTTGTCTTGGAGGACTAAGATAGTTTGGTCCCTCGTACTCTTCATTCTTTCCCAGACAGTGTTTGCATGGCAAACGTCATGAGACATGTTGTGCGTGCATGATTCATACCAACTTGAGTTAGGTTGTGATGATGATATCATCATCAATGGATGTTATGTGCTCACATGTCCTTCTTGTCTCTCCCTCTGTTCATATCTTGACCACCTCCACAAGAAAACTCCAGTTTACTGATGCTGTTGTCTATGCAGTACGGGAAGCCAGCAGTTCTGGAGCAGGATCAGGCTGGCTACAGAGTATTTTTGCAGCCCAACTCCAACGCTGGAAGAACGCAGATGCTTCCCATGATGAACGGATATCCCATGCCGCACACCATTGTGCAAACTGCTCCCTATGTTCCCCCTCAGCAGACCATTCGTCCAGTCTTCAACGTGATCCCCAACCCGGGATCTGCAGATGCTCTCAGAAGGCTGCAAGACGAGATGGCTACCCAAAGACTTGCCTTCTCTCAGCTGAAGGAGAACCTGGGATACGTCCGCCAGGTGGTTGACGGGCTCAAGGCCGAACTTGCGCTGCAGACAAGCGGAAAGAAGGCTGTAACGTTCAAGGATCTTGCCCGCCTCAAGAAGTACATCGACATCAACAGAGCCTCCGTCAAGACTCTGCAGGATAAGTCCCGTGAGCTCGACTTGCAAGTCCGCCAGCTCCAGGCCTCCAAGAACCGACCAGGACCCCAGGGACCTCCGGGTCCTCAGGGTGAGACGGGAGCACCAGGTCCACGTGGAGAGCCAGGTAGGAAGAAGCTGGAGCTAGGGGGAAGAGGGGGTGACTTGGAGTGCAGGACGTGAGGGTATCCAGGGACCACCCGGACCAGCGTTCTCTGCTGCTGAGAGAGATGCGATTCGCAAGGCGATCGGAGTGCTCAAGCGGGTGGGAGCGGAGAAGGTAGCGACGGTGGAAGAGGGAGACGAGTCCCCAGAGGGATCTGACGGAGCTGATAACGAGGTGAGAGATGAGAGGGAGAGTGAGGGAGAAAGTTGAGTCATGCTCTGCAGGAGGCAAAGAAATCCGAGGCTTCGGAGTCTAAGCTGAAGCAGAAGAGCACGAAGAAGCAGGAGTGGGGAACTTTGTTGAACCAGCTTAAGAAGCGCCTCGAATAAGTTTTCTCAGTGTTTCTCCTTTTCTCTTTCTTCTCCTCGATGATTTGACATCTCATAACAAAATCAATAAACTTCACTGTGTGTGCAGCAGAATGGCCTTATGTGAGAAGAGTACTGCTACATTCAAGTAATCGCCAAAAAAAATTAAATCGGACGGGAGAATTTCAGCTATCCGAGTCTAATGTTACACTCCTAGAGAGAATATCCTACTGCATACAGTCAGTCCACAGCCTCCGCCACTTCCCTTTCCCTTCCTCCCACCTACCCTCCCACCCACCCTCCCTCTGTTTTCCCTCAGGTCTCCCGCCGTCCTTCTCCTCCCCCATCCATCTCTGCTCACCATCCTCTGGCGGAAACTCATGATGGAATGACTGCAGCAACAAGTCAGTCCACACCAGCCCTCCTCCTCCTGTGCCTCCTCTACCTTCTCATGAGGGAGACGGAGAGTTGAAGGGGTCCGGCGGCTCTGCCAGCCGATTCAGGGAAGAAGTTTCGAATCGTCTTCCTCTTCTAACGCTGGCACCCTCCACCTACTTCCCTCCACCTCCTTCCCTCTTCCTCCTTCCCTCTTCCTAATCCACATCCTCCTGCCCAACTCCTTTCTCCTCCGCCCTGCCCCTCCTCCCTCACATGGTAGATGGGAGTGCCTTCCAACACCGGCGACATGGCACGGATGGGCGAGTCGCTCCCTGGGGTTGGCTTAGTTAAGTTAGTTTCTCTTCCTCCGTCGCCCTCACCCCCGACACTCTGCGCATCTGGATTGGTGGCCTGCCGAGCATGTAAGGAGGAGAGCAGGCGTAAGGAAAACAGGGAGGAAGAGGAGGAAGAGAGAGGAAGGAGGAGGAGGAGGAGGAGGAGGAGGAGGAGGAGGAGGAGGAGGAGATACCTGTACGTAGGCAAAATTATTCCGCATGTGCGCCTTAAGACGTTCGAGGAGAACCTGCAAAGGTCATGAGGGGAGGGGAAGGAGGAGAAGGAGAGAGTGAGGAAGGGGAGGAGATGGTTACTTGGATGGCAGCGATATTTCTTCCGCCAAAGGGGATGATGACGTCGGCAAACTGAAATAACGATGAGCGAGGGAGTGAATGACAACGGAGGATGGAGGCGCGGAAAGATGTAGGACGAGCAAAGTACGAGGCAGGAAGAGGAGGGCGATTGGCATCAAGCTCTCACTTGTTTTGAAGGCTCGACAAAAGCATCATGCATGGGCTTGACAGTATCAAGATACTGAAATTATGTTAGCCATTATCATCATGGCTCTATTTCCCTCCCTCTCTCCCTCATTTTCTTTGCTTCTCCTCCCCTTCGATCCTCTTTTCACCTGATGCACGATCGAGTGGAAGCATCTCCCTCTCTCAACCCTGCGGTAGGAATGAGGAAAGCAGAGAAGAGAAGATAGAGAAGAAAATAGAGGAAAAGTGGTGGTGGAGGAGGAGGTGGAAGAGCAGGAGCAGGAGCAGGAGATATGCAAAATACATGTCACGATCAATGCGACGGATGATTCGACGATCAGCCTCGACGTCAACATAGACTTTCAAGTTCATCTGCAAACAGAGTGAGTGAAACAAGAAGAAACTGTAACTTGATCTCTTCACATGATTCCGAAGGACTTGTTCGTAGAGGATAAGAATTCCTGATTCACCATTGTACATCAGCTGAGATTGAACGAGAAATTAATGGAGTAGATGATGATGATGATCGTGATGATGATGATGATGATGATGATGATGATGATGATGAAACACCCAGAAAGCCCGGGGGCTTACCTTCAACCAGGATGATGGGCCGAGGTTCTATCAGGAGCGTCTCGTTCTGAATCATCGTCATCGTCCTCGCCAATTTTTGTTATCAACTTTCACCGTTTTACGGAGGTGCGTAGCAAAGTCGTAGACAGGAGCGCGGACGGCAGTACCGTTGATGAGCTCCTGCACAGGTTGCAATCAGGAAAACAAGAGGGGGTTTCTGATTTGTGAACTTTGCTTGTCATAATTCAGAGGGAATGAGGTCAACATAGAGGAGGCTGGATATCACAACCATGACACTGCGCGGAGAAACATGCGAGGTCTTCTCATAGACATGCTGACCTGCAAGTGTTGTACCATCAGCTCCGTTTCCAGACTGTCAGGATGATCGAAATTGATGTTGTCGCGTTCTTCTACAGTAAGGTGGGGGCGGTGGCGATAGTAGTTGTCGTGGGACAACACAGCAACGTTTTCCTGCACATATTGTGTGAACATACACTTCTCAATGCTCCTCCCTTCTCTCTTCCTCTCCTCATCCTCTTCCACCCTCTCCAAAATCTCTATCCCTTCAAACTATTTCCTATCATCCGCCAGCACCTTCCTTCTTTCCCTCCCTCCCTCCCTCCCTCCCTCACCTTTCCCAGGTGCTCCACTATCACGTCCATGATCGTCGTCTTCCCGCTTCCGCTTCCTCCTGCGATACCGACGACAAGAGGCTTCCCGTCCCTGTGGTCGGGGATGTAGCTCTGCAGGAACTGCATGCACCCTGCCTTGTACCCCTCTATCCAGAACGTGGACTTCGACCTCCTCAGAGTCCCCTGCTGCTCTTCCCTCTGCATCTCAGCGCTCGCCTCCTGCACATGGCGGCAGATCGAATCTCCTCGCTCTTGTGAGGGTTTCTTCGTCAAGGGCATCTGATGATTCTCGACGACTCCAGCATGGGAGAATTCCAGCATCAATGCCGCAAAGACGGTCGCAATGTAAGCGCCTTTCCACATGGTATGCCCGTGTGCAGCGATGGGATGAAGCAGGCAAGACACGGTAACGGGAAGCTTCTTCTTCTTCTCCCTCCTCCTCCTCCTGGTCAGGCCTCGAAAACTGATCAAAACTCACAATATTGATGTTGGTCAATTGTTCGAGAACGACATCCTGTACACAAGTTCAGTGTGAGAGAGAACCAACATTTGCACGGATTCTATTTCACTTTGTCTCCCATCGTTTATCCCGCCCTGCGTATTCATACCGTCTACCATGAGCAGCTATAACTCGAGCCAAGGCACACCCTTCGCCACAAGTTTTGTGAGCAATACAAAATTGGTTCTCCGAGGATACAAGTTTTCTCTTCACCATTACCTCTTGAAAATTTCATTGAATCTCCCTCACTCATCACAATCCCTATAAACAGTTTCCTCCTTCCTCGCCGTGTATCACTTTCCCCCGCCCTCTCTCCGCACCACCTTCCGGATCGACTCTTATCCCAATGAACTTCACTGCCCGTCTCACTCGCTCCCTTCTCCTGTACTTTCCCTCCTCCTCCCATTCTTCACTGCATCTTCATTCCGCCCCCCCTTTCCATTCTCCATTTCCTCTCTCCCCTCGCGCACCCGCGTCTTCCTGCTTCCATCGTTCCCTCCTCAAATCAGCCATGGCGGCCGGAATCAAAAGTGTTCCCACTTGGTAGGGTGGGTCACTACCCCTACCATCTCATGATCTTTACTTGACCTAGGTATACAGGGGTACAATATAGCAACATGGTCACTGAAAGGGGTAGGGGCAAAGGGTTGCCCTACTGCAGAAAGGGGTGGACGTAGGAGCTAAGGTGGGTACGGGTAATGTTTACCAATGTTCATTCTCTTTGTGGAGGGTGGGGTCATGTACCCCTACCAACAAAATCCCGCAAAACCACCACCCTGAATTCAGTCCAGTCCGCCTCAGATGAGTACCCACCCTTCCTCACTGAAATGCAGCTAAGGAGTAGGGGTAGGTAGTTCGGTGATCAGTGATGTTTTAGGGATCAAGAGACATGGTGCGGGTCAGCTAGGTAGAAACCTTGAAGGATGGGAGGGAGAGGGAGAGGCAGCAGGGAGAGGCAGCAGGGAGAAGGGAGAAGGGAGAAGGGAGAAGGCAGCAGGCAGCAGGCAGCAGGCAGCAGGCAGCAGGCAGCAGGCAGCAGGCAGCAGGCAGCAGGCAGCAGGCAGCAGGCAGCAGGCAGCTCGGAAGGCAGCAGGCAGCTGAGGGTCAGCAGCGCTGATTGGCAGTACGGTAGCAGGCACGCAGCAGGTGCTACTGACTCAGTGAGCAATCATTGAATTGTCTCCGTCCGAGTCCTCCTGCGGTGAGAAGGTTTTCAATTAGGGATGTTCCGCGTGTTCAAAGTGTGGTAGACTAGTGGCTGAAATAATGATGATAGCGCGCCTGGAGAGGAAGGCAGGGAGGCAGGGAGGCATTCTAAGGGAGGTGGATTCATGGATCGCGGGCAGCCTACTCGGAGAAATAACACTTGTGATGATTCCAGGAGCCAGGCATTCTCCGTAAGAAATCATCTTTATCATACCACTGAGGTCAAAAAGGAGACGGGCACTGAAGACTCTCCCATGGGACAGAAAGTGTCTTGGACACAAGAATGATCGCGGGTTGGATTCTGCGACTTTGCCCGCTGAGCGACTCCGCAATGTTCCCAGCAGCGCCGTGACATGTTTGTGGGCTCTCAATCTTGAAAGTGACAGGAAGGTTAGAAAGTGCAACAACAATCGCTAGCGCACGTCCCCGATGTTCATCAAGGGATACGACTTGACCTACCTCTTCAGCTCGTGGACTGCCAAGCACACAGCTGGTACAATCTTGACAGCTTCCATCTTCTTTTCCCTCGCCCTTGTTCTCAGCCCCATATTCCTTGGGTACGCCTTGCCCAAGTGCTCTTCACCCACTCTCCCATGCCGCATCGATGCGGCTGGCTGTCTCTGCAGCATCATGAGCGCCGATGGCTCTTGCTGGCAGCGGCTGCCGCAGGCCTTGCGGTGCTACACCAGCACCATGTCAGTGACGTCCGGAGCATGCAAGGGGAATTATGAGACCAAACTCTGTGCCGAGAGCCAGCTGGACGCAGACTTGTCCCTGGAGGCGTTGGCGCAAGGGGTCACCTTGCTGAACCCTTTCACTGCAGGAGTCTGCAACGCTACTTACAACATGGAGAACGATCGATGCAGGTGAAGACGAGCTTGCTGCTGTCAGCTCCTGAGTAGTTTGATCAGCATGCCCAACGCTCGATATGACGCGAGCACTTTCGACTACCTGCAGTGCTGCAGGTCACCCGTAGCGACATGCGTCAACGACAACGACTGTTGCAACTGCGGCCTGGTGAGCTACTGGCAGTACATGAGCGTCTCTTTGTAACATAGCACAATGCAGGAGAGTTCGAAATGCAAGACTAAGTTGAGATGTGTTGTGACCAGCAAAGGAATCAATGGGACAACGGAAAGCAGCACAGAATGTTTGTCTACAGAAGACGGTGAGATCGAAAGAATCTTATTTCTTGCGTTGTGTGCATACTGACAGGAGGGTGTTCAAGCTTGCGTCTGGTTTCAGTATCAAGGATGCAGCAACAACGCCGAAATTTGTGACAGTACCCAGAAAGTGATCAATGTGTACGATCCCAAGAATTCGGAATGGTTGCCTTGAATTCCTCACATACATGTTGATAATTTACTGTTGCAACACACAGTTGTGCCAACACGACGTGTGTGTCCGCCAAGACTCAAGAGATAACGGTGCTCGAGAACAAGATCAACGATCTCAGTGTCGCGTACGACATCGCCAAGAACGATGGTCTCAACACTGCCAACTCCCTCGCCGCGGAGCTCGCAGCTGCCCAGACGCAACTGGATCAAATTCTGCGAATCATAAACTGCCGTAGCCAGTGTCAGGTGAGCGATGATTGGGCCAGATTCCTCGTCCGCCTCCACCTCCTGATTCTCTTCCTCCTCGTGCTGCTGCTGCTGCTGCTGCTGCTGCTCCATGGGTTTCGCTTTCCTCCTCCTCTACCGCCAGTCGCTCGTCTTGACGTCGTTCCTTGCATGACGATGGCACCATCAGGCTGGCAACGCCCTCACTGGCTGCCCCTGCATCGATCAGAAGGCTGGCTGCTTCCGCAAGATGTGCATCGCCACCTCTGACTACTTCAAGTACGGAGGGGTTGAAACCTACTTGCGTTCCTTGGGAGCCATCAATACCAAGGTGGAAATCTCCTCCTCCTCCTCCTCCTCCTCCTCCTCAGCCTGCTGTCATTCCCTCCACACATCCTGCTTTCTTTCTCCTCTGTCTTGTGCCTGACTTGAGAGCAGGTCTGTTACAACAACGACTGCAATCAGGGAATGTTCCAGGAGTGGGCTGCCAGGACTGAACTGTGAGAGCTCGAGCGTTGAAGAGGAGGGAGGAGGAGGGAGCCTAACTAATCTTGTCATCTGATGTCCTTGTGGTGAGAGAAACCAAAGTGATGGTTGTGCTCAAGATGCCGCCCATGCCTCCCCTGCACCTCAACGTCAGTTTCCTTCCCGCTCGTCCTCACTCACATGATAGCGACGAGAACGAGGGCTGCTCGTCTCCACGGCTCTCCTGTGTAGAGGCCCATCTTCAAGGCGAACAAGGCCTGGAAGAAGCTCAGAGAACGGAGTGGGGGAGGGGGGAAGCGAGCAAGGGAGGACGGAGAGAGCAGGAGGAGACGAGAGCACAAAGAGGGTAGATGGGATGAGGCAAGGACGGACAAGGCGCTGCTCACCGGGAGGACGAAGCAGATGAATGCAGACGTCGTGCCACCCACTGGCAGAGAAGTCAGCAACGACAGGAGAGGAGGAGGAGGAGGAGGAGGAGGAGGGAGAACGGAGCAAGGTCAGAGATTAAAGTGATCGGCGACCGCACCGAGTTGGAAGACCGTGTCAAGATGAGGGACGAAGAGGCTGAGAACGATGGCGCCACCTGAGATCAGAATCGTCCAAGCTGCATGACTGAGGAGAGGTCATTAGATCAACCATCTTGTTTTTGTTCCACCTTGATACTTTCAGATAACACCTCCCTCCCTCCTCTCCTCTCCTCTCCTCTCCTCTCCTCTCCTCTCCTCTCCTCTCCTCTCCTCTCTTCCCTCCCTCCCGTCCCGTCCCCTCCTCCCAGCAACCTGAGTCTGTTGGATGGAATGTAGCCGGAACACACATTCTCGATGGAAGATCGGCAGGGATGTACGATGAGAGGAAAGGCCATGACGATTGTGACGGCAATCGCTCCATACATCAATACAACTCCAACAGACCTGTGGTAGGGAAGGGGAGGGCAGAACAAGAGCGGGAGGAGAGACCCAGAAAGGGAGGACAGGAGGATGTGACACAGGAGGAGATGGAGGGAGGAGGAGAAGTCAGCGGGTGACCAAGGACCGCAACTCTTCTCACCCTTGCGTGAACTCCTGCGAGAAGTTGTTGAGGATGTTCCCATGGGTGCGGTGGCCGAACTCAAGGAAGCCACTGACTCCGATGCAGGCGTAGAGGAGGAGGCAGAGGCTGATGGCGCGGAAGGAAACTTTGGCCATGCGGCGCTCGGAGGCACGGTTGAGGTCGTCGAAGATGGCAAACACGTTGATCTGACACGTGAAGGCAAACATGAAGATCGGAACAGCCTGGATTATGTCGAGCGGTTTGCTTCCTACCCACAAGCTCAAATCGCTCCATGGCGGCTGAACGGCGTTGGAAGCGATGTTGAAGGAGGAGTGATAGCAAACAGCCCCGACAAGATAGATGATGGTGATCACTCCAAACAGCGAGGCGAAGCGCAGCTCGTTCATGCTATCCACCAGCGAGAGAGGGAGGAGGAGGAAAAGCCACACAACGATGAGGGCAACGGTTGAAGTCATCCATGGCGCATAGCTGCTGATGTTGGTCACAATTACAAGAGGGGTGACGAAGTCGTGTAGAGTCTTGCAGTAAGCCACCTACATAACAATCAGCGTGATATCAGAGGCGGATGAGGCTGTTGATTGCAGTGAGAGCGGCAAGACACGACGAGGTCGATAAAGAGGAGGGAGAGCAGAAAGAAGCGGCCGAACAGCGAGGAAAAGATAGCTTTGTGAACTCAGGGAGATAGAAAGGAAGGAAAGGAGGGAAGAGGGCAAAGACAGGAAGGAGAATCGGGGAAGCAGCAAATTACTCCAGTTCCGAAGCAGATTGCGATGATATTCCACTCAACAAAAGATGCCCAGCGGGGACCGAAGAGGTGTCGAGTGATCTCTTCATAGGTGGAGCAGCCAGTGCGAGAACGGGCGATGACTAGAAGGTTGATCGAAAAGGTTGTAGTCCAGGCGCACACGCAGAGGAGGAAGAGCCCTAGAGCGATTCCCATGCTGAAACAGCTGCGTCAGGAGGGAGGGCAGGAGGAGGAGGAGACTCGACCAACCTTTTGAATGCACTGGGGACCGAAAGAGCGCCGGCGCCTGGGAAGCAACCAAGTCAAGGTGAGGTGAAGGAAACGGTGTAAGAGAAGAATAAGAATTGTTCAATCAACACTCGTTCAGTCATCTCTTCACTGAAGATCGCATGCTCGTGGATGGAAGGGTCAACATCCATCATGCTTTCAGCGCGAACTGACTAGGAGTTGCTCACCCAATGTCGCACTGCAGAGATTGAAAACACTTCCACGAATAGATCCTTGCGAATAATACTGATCGAGAAAATCTTGAAACGAGCTTCCAGAGGACTGATGTCCAAAATGAGAAGATCCATCGAGAGAAATCATGTGGAGTGGGGGAGGAGGGGAGGGGAGGAGGAAGGAGCTAACGGCAATGCAGCAGCTTCACCCTCCCCATCATGGCAGTGTGGATCACTGAGAGGAGGAGGGCAAGAAGAACCAACCTGCGTTTGTATCATAGGCCGACTTGTTCGAGCCGGGACTCTGAAAAAGATCGACAAGTGAGTTGCAAGTGAAATGGATCGAGACTGAACATGGAAGTTTCACCTCTGCAACAACGTTGCGCCCTCCCCGTCCTCTTCTTCATTCCGATCTTCATTCGAAGAGTCTGGTGGGAAGCTGTTCGAACTTTCTTGATGCATCTGAAGGTTTTCTTCAAGATTGTCGCGTTTTGATGCCATATCTTCCCTTTCTCTTCAATGTCCTTGTCGACAACTGAGCATCTTCAAAAAAAACTTCTGTCACCATGAACATAAGTCCGTGCGAAATCCAAAGATTGAAACAAACACAAGTCGAGTGTTAAAAGGAAGATATACATTGAAATCTCCAGTCAACACAACTGCATCCCTTCAAACCACAGACTCTCCCTTGTAATTCCCTAAATTCCCATGTTCTCCATTGTCAGTCGGCCATCACTGTCCCTCGCATTCCACATGAACATCATCATATCGCCATCTTGATTCTCTCACATATCTTCTTCTCTCCACAAATCAACATGTTCACATCCCTCAATCTCCTCCATCTCCTCCATCCCCTCCATCCCCTCGTCTTCCTAACTATCCCCTGCCATACTTCGTATCTGTAGTCTATTGAGAGGTCCCCAGTTGGTGCTGAAGTGGGGTCCCTACAAAGGGTGGGTGGTTTTTAGGAGGGGGTAGGGGTGAGGTACATAGGAAAATTTCATAGGAATTCCTTGGTGAAGGGCGAGCATTCTAGTCTAAGGGGGTACACTGTTGAAACGTAGGGGGTGGTCACCGAAGGGTAGTGAGGTTGGGGTGGGTACGGCATTCTGACTTGCACCCCCTTGATTCTAGCAGATACATAGAGGACATCTGAAGGTGGGGGTAGTGGGTGGTGAGGGAAAACTCGGGGGTAGAAGTCAGCTATTCGTGGGGTAGGGGGTAGTCGGCGTGTAAAAGGGGCAGCCAGTTGAAAGGTGGGGTAGTTTATAGATGTGGGTAGGGGTGGCGGTTGTTTGAATCGAATTAGATTTTGAATTTTGAAGATGGATGCGAGGAGGGGAGAGCAGAGAGGAGGAGAGGAGGAGAGGAGAAGAGGAGAGGAGAAGCGAGGAGAGGAAAAGAGGAGAGAGGAGGAGAGAACAGCAGTAATAGTAGGGGGAGAAGGTGATGATTTAGTTATTAAGGGCAAAAGAGGAGATTCCCACTTTGTTGAACCCCATCATCCGATCACAACCTTTTCTTGTTGAAGGAATAACAAGCAGTCAAGCTGACTGAAGAATCTTACTGGGAAAGGGAGACAAGACCATAGAGACTTATACGGCATGCAAGATAACGCAAGATATACGAGGGAGCTTGAAGTGCTGGTTGATAGCAGTAGAATAGAACGGTAGAGGTGGCGATGTTCAACTGAAGTTCAGGATGTCAAATGAACCCGCTCTGTCTTATCCTGATCACTGATGATTTGAACATTACATCCGTATATGACAGAGAATTATATGCGGTGTGTACAGCACTGTGCTGATCTTTTTGAACCAGGGGGGAAGAGCCAAGTTTTATGCCCTTCCAGTGCAAACTGAAAGTTGTCTGAGGTACAAAGACGAATGACCACAACTGGAGTATTGAAAGCAAGCGAGACGATGTTCGACAAGCTCTCGCGATCTGAGCTGCAAAAGATTGCAAAGATGCACGGGATTAAGGCAACACAGACCAATGCAAAGATCATCGGTGAACTCATCGCCAAAGGAGTACAATTGGAAGAACAAGGGGAAGCAGGACAAACCGATGCTGTGGAGCAGCTGGAGCAGAGAGGGAAGCAGAACAAGCGAGGAAAGAAAGCTGCTGAGATGCAGGAGGACAATCATGTGAGAGGAAAGGTGAAGAACGGAGAAGTGGCAGCACAAACAGACTCTTCCTCCCCCTCCTCCTCCTCCACCACCACCACCACCACCACCTCCTCCTCCTCCTCCGTGACTACAATCACAACCTCCTCCTCGCCCTCAAATTACTCTGAGATGTCAAGGAGCGAGCTCCAGGCCCTTGCCAAGTCTCGGGGTGTGAAGGCAAATCAGAAGACAGCTGACATCATTGCAAACTTGATCGCTCTGGACGGGGAGACTGCTCCTGATGCCATGTCAGCACCAGTCGTAGATGCCAAGAAGATGAATGTTGAAAAAGAAGAGGCTCAGGCTCAGCAAGAGCGCGAGCAGGAGCACGAGCAGCAGGAGCACGAGCAGGAGCAAGGTGAAATCACGGAGAAGAGAGAGTCTCTCCCTCTGGTGAGGAGGATGACAAGAAGTTCCCTGCGATCTCTTGGCAACCGAGCAAGCCTTGAGGAAGCAGACGTTAAAGGTGTTTCAACTCCCTGTCAGAAGGGAGACAGTGAAGGTGCGATGATGATGATGATTGTTGACAACCTTCTATGTGTTGGCGGCTTGGAGGTGTTGTTGATGACCTTTTCATTGTAGATGATCAACACAAAACAATTGTCGATAATCAGGAGCATGTAGAGGATCAAGAAGACGGTGATACGAATATGAGTGCTGGAAAAGGCGAGGAGGAAGAAAATTGCCATCAGCCGGAGGAAGGTGATGATAGGCAGGATGCACGGCTCGTTGTTCTCACAACAACTTCAGCTCAGTACGCTTCATATGTCAGCGAGCAGGAGCAGGAAGACGTTGAGCAGCAGAAGCAACAAGATCTGGATGGTATTCTACATCCTCTGATAGCATCGGCGTTGACGTTGGAGCAGACGGGGCAAGAGGTCCTAGCAAGAGCGCAGCAGCTGCCCATGAGGAGGAACCTGTGAAGAGCAGCAAGCAAGGAAAGAAATCCCTCAGCATGCAGCGCCCTGTGGTGAAGAGCGTGAGAGCAAGCGTCTGCTTCAAGCCTGCCCCGAAGGTCGCCCCCTCCGTTCCGAGTAGGATGAGCATGAAGCCTGTCGGAGTCGGCATGAAGAGGAAGGCAGAGGGAGTGGAGGAGCGACAGGACGGCAGACCTGCCGAGGTGACTTGGCTGGACTCCGAGCTGGCGGAGGGTGGTGACGAGGGTGGTAGCAGGCGGGGAACGGTAAGGGCCCTCAGTACAAGAGATATAAGGGGAAGCTTCCTCCCTTCGAGTTCAACGAGAGGTGCTGCACGTGCTGGAGGTACTGGAAGATGACTTGTCCTGCAGGTCGATCTTCGTGAAGCCTGTCGCCAAGGTCATTCCTACCTTCCTCTCTCTCACTCTCTCTCCCTTCCCCCGTCCTCCCTCCTTATCTCCCTCTAACTTTGTTGGCTTTTAGCCCGCTTCTCATCGCGCTTCTGTTGCGTCTGCTGTGGTCAAGCCCGGCCAGCTTGACAAGAGCAAAAACTTGCAACCTCTCCGAGCAATGAACGCGCCCCCACTCAAGATGGCAGCAGTGAAGGAGGAGAAGAAGGACAAGGAGGGGAAAGCAGCGTCCTCAAGAGCAACCTTGTCCGCGACTTTGCATCCCAACAAAGAGAACATGAGGTAGGAGGAGGAGGAGGAGGAGGAGGAGGCAGTGGTTTCTCAAGGAAGCTGCAGGGATACTGCAGTCAGGCAGAAGGCTGCGGTGCCTGCAGAGAAGAGCAACAAAGGTGACAAGGGAGCGAGGGAGGGGAGCGAGTCTGAGAGGAGTGCAGGTGTGCGGAGGAGAGAGAGCTCGGGTGAAGTTTGTCTGCCCGAGGGACTACCTGTCTTCATCACTTGATGGTAGTGAGAGATGGACGATTGATAAGTGTAAAAAGAAAACTTGATTGAATACTGAAGACCTTACTTAGTCTTGATCTCTACCTCAGCCCTCCACCCCAGGCTCTTGCTGGCTCTCCCTCCAACTTGATGCGCAGCCTCTAAGCCTCCGAGCTCTAACTTTCCTCTGACCCTCGCTGCTCTGCAAAGCGACCTGACGGTCGAACTTTGGACCTGCTACTACGGGCCTCCAGGCGGTAAGTTCAGTGCCAGGCCGCCCCCCCTGGACCGCCCGCCCGGGCTCCGGCAGCCTGCTGGGCCCGGGTCCAGGAGTCCGGGCCGGCCGGGCCCGACACCGTGACGGAGTCACTCGGAAGCCGCTACTAAAAATAAGTTGAGGAAGCCTGGCACCGTGGCACTGCAGCAGGTGACAGTGGAGGTGACCGGGGCGACACCAATCCTACAAGCTAACTTATCATACATCTTGAGATGCAGGAGAGATGCGGTAGTAGCCATGCACTAGAAGCGATGACGGAGAGGGAGCGGGGCGAGGAAGAGGTAGGGAGGGAGGGAGGAACAGCGAGAGATAGATACGGATACGGGTAGATAGAGGCAGAGACAGAGGAGGAGAGACAATGGTAGTGACATGGCTTCAAGAGGGTACAAGAGTCGTACTGACTATTGGCAGGGTCCACAGCCAGCCCATATAAAAATGCAGCGAAATGAACCGAGAGCACAAGGGGTAGAGAAATCGAGGAGCCAACCAAATGAGGTATGCTAGTTGCCCTTGATGTGAACTGAGATTTAGTGAGACCTTGTGGTATTTGCAGGTTCAGAAGTTGAGGGAACGAGAGAAGGAGATGAATCAGGTTCGAGGGGGTGTCAGTTTGATTTTGTGCTGGTTGAAGGAATTCTTGACAGGAAATCGCAAAACTTCGGCAAGAACTATCAACGCTGCAGGTGGAAATAGGACAAACTTGTTCAGCAACTCACATCGAACAGGAATCCCTACAACAGCAAGTTGGCAAAGGAGACCCCAAGCATGAAGCTTATCAGAAGGAAGGGGCGAAGGAGGTTGTCTTCCTCTTCGTATGCTGGTCAATTGATATGATGCCACAGGAATCACTGTCGCCATCAAAGCGAGAGCTCTCATCTTCAGATCTCATGGTGTCTCGTTGGTAGACATGGATGCTATGAGTCTGATCTTTCATGCAAGATGAGAAGCGTTCGAAGCCTGTCGCATGAAAACTTTGAGGAGGTTGTTCAGATGTCTTCGCTGTTGCTCTGCCAACCTTGACTTGTTCTGAAATGAAGGCTGAATCGGAGCTCAACGAAGTTTTGCGTCAGTTGGAACAAGATGCAGATGGTATGGAAAGCTTCGCAGGGCGATACTGACTCCTTGTTACAGTGCTGAATGGAAGGATCAGAAAAAGAACGATCTTCTTCTTCCTTGTTCTTGTTGCCTCAGTCATGGCTTCTCCTTGTTTCTTGATATCCCTCCGCGAAGCCGTAAGCTCTGTCAACCCCTCCCTTCCTCCTCGCCCTTCGAATGCTGATCTTGCCTAGGGCTACGTCGAAGTCAAGAAAGGAACAGCTTTCTGCCGCTTCCTATCTGGTGAGGTTCATGTGACTGCAATCATGTCAAGCTCAACGAGAACAGGTTGGGATTTCTGCATGCAACAGACCAAGTTCTGGACGAGTACCCTGAACCCTCAACCCAAAACTTGTGGTGACTGGTTTGTTCAGAGACGTCCTTCTTGTGGCTCTACATGAAAACGGCGTGCGCACTCTCACCGAAGATGGTGGAAGCAAAACCTTATGAATTCAATCTCTACAACCCCCCGCTGATGAAAGACGGGTATTGCTCTCTACTCGATACTCCTGAGCACTCAATAGAACCCGCTTGCTCCAGTTTCGTGAACACTACAGAGATGGGCGAAGTCTTGATTGGAGAGGCTTCTTTGAAAGTTCCCTCGTTCTGCCTACCACCACATGCATTCACATGCAGTCCAGGTATGCTCAAGGGGTACATCAGAACAGAGCTTTCTCAGGAGAGACGATTGCGACGGGTAAGTTCCGACAGCTGTCGTATCCTTCTCAGTGAACCACATCTCTGTCAGTTGTCTCTGCCCTGCTGGGTCTGTCTGGATTCATTACAAGGACCCGAGGTTGATCAAACTGCGAGTCGATGTTGAAGGATGTGAGTTTTGACATTGACGGTGGAAGATTCTTCGGCAAAGGCCAAGGATTTTGCGTTCCCGATGCTGAGTGGCAGAAGTGCTACAGCAGTTGGCCATGCTGCAAGTGAGTGCGAGCGAAGATGCTGGAACGAACCTGACTGATGATACAGACACAAGCCAAACTTTTGCTGGGAGTTCATATGGAATGGAGGAAGAAAACTCGCGGACATAGAGGTTGCCTACCTCGTCCATCCTCTCCCTCTCCCTCTCCCTCTCCCTCTTGTTCCTCCTTGCAGCCTTTTATGTTTCGGCAGGGCTCCAGCAGAGTTGTTGTCGACTCTTGCAGGTCAGATTTTTCTTTTTGTGCGCTCGTGTGATTGACAAGCCCTCAGCTTGCATGGCGGATGCAACGTCATGATCAGAAGATACCGGAAGTGGGAGTTGATCAGCGAGACGAGCTCAATCAAATACGAGAGGGTATGATCGGTGTGCCTTCGACTGCTCATCTGATGTGTTAATGCAGGATGTCGTTGAAACGAAAGTAAGTTGATGTCATGACACGACGACAGCGTCTTCCTCTCCTCTCACGATCTGAGAGCAACTCAGTTGATCGGTGTGGCCCTGGAGGAAGTGCAAGCGGTGAACAAGACACTCAATGTCAACCTTGACCTGCGGGGCTGGGTTATCCTCATTCTACACCTTCTTTCCTCATCACGGTACCGCAGGGACTCCCATCATCTACCCAGTACCTGCTCAAGGTAAGATGACGTCATCCGTTTCAGACTCCACCTGAACCTCCTGTGATGTGCAGCTGGGCCCACACTCGGACCCTCGAGAGTGGAGAGTCCACCAGGAAGATCAGGTCATGAGCAAGCATCGGGTGAGTTGGCGCGTCCTGCGCCTCGTGTCTCAGTCGTGGCAGGCTGGACGGCGCTACCGCACCTGGCAGCTCGTCTCCCGTTACTCGATAGTGGGGACAGACATGCAAGGTGAGGCTGTCTTGACGTGTGAAGCTAATCACCGATGCAAGGTAATGCGCACGAGTTCGTCTCCTGGCATCAGAGGGAGTGGAAGTCCTACCAGGACGTCATGTGAAAGTTCGATGGTCGGGGAGAGCACAGGAAGTCAAGAACAGTGGAGAAGCCTTGCTACAAGGCTGTCAAGCTCGCTGTCATTTTATTCCTCTCTTTGATGTGCAGTATGTTGCCATCATCATAAGAGCATTCCAGTAGAAGAGGAAGGAAACCTGTGCGACGTCAGGGGTCAAGTCGACCCTCTCTCATGCCTCTTGCTCTACCTTGCTGTCTGGATCGAAACTGTTACCGAAGATCTTGGAAAACACATAATCAGAAGGCATCCCATAGCCTGCGTGACATGCGTGAGGGATGCTTCTAGTGCGAATAGAGCTCTCAACGTCTCATGATGATCTCCATGCAGTCTTCCACCCGTATCTCTCCGACGTCCTGCTCCTCTTCCTTCAGGTGGTCACGTTCCTCGCTCTCACTCACCCCGACGTCGAACATTATAAACTCCACGACAGCCATGAACTGGAGGCGCCACGTCAGCGTCCTCGCACGCTAGTTGACAAGAACCTGAGGAGGCTGATCCTGAGTGCCTCCCACGCTGGTGAGGTACTCGATGCAGATGTTGCGGAAAGCGATCCAACCTATCGTCCTCTCACGGCATGTTGCAGCCACAGCCCACTTGCCTACAGCCTGAGACGAGGAGTCCGGCATGGCGTCGAGGTCCTGCTGGGTCATGGTCCCTTCCTCCGTGAGGACCACAGGAACGACCTCCGGGCTGCAGGGAGCAGACAAACCCCGTCAGTCCTCCAACTCCACAGGCGTTGAAGACAAGGAAGGGAGGATGCCTGGGTTCATTTTGAGGCAGCGAATCATAAACCCCCCGCGGACTCTGACGATGACGTCAGCACAGGCAGGTCAAGAGAAGAAACATCTTCATCACCATGATAGGTGGGTGCTGTATGTCCCGTTTGGTACAGCAATCTACTGCTTCTGGTGTGACGATTCGAAACTTGGAAGTTCTACATGTCTTTGGTGAGATGTGAAAATGCAACATTGACATTGTAAGCAACACCTTGTCACTTCCTGTATCTCCTGCAGATGCAGAAGGTTGTTCTTGGGAATCTCTTCCTCCTGTTCATGGCAGAAATTCGTCTTCACGGCGATGCTCTCGTGATTCAAATCAAATCGAAACCTGGTCGTTGGCAGATTGTACTGGTAGCACGAGTCAAACGAGCATGTTGGAACTCAAGGCCTCTTGCCTGTAGAAGCATCTGTATTGGTTCTCCTGGACCATCCTGGGGAAGGCAGAGGTCCTTTGAATTCTCCTGGACTTGAGTCTTGTGAGGGTGGAAACTAACAATGTTGCATCTACCGTAGCTGGTGCATGTACATGACGCCCAAGAATTTGCTCTTCTTGGTGCAGAGTTGAATGATAGGTTTGAAGTGTAGCATGAGCTGCGTGTCCAACAGAGCTAAGACTTGACACTCGCCGATGGTGTTGACTTCACCTGATCGAAATGTGTTTCTGAGACGTCAAACTCCTGCTTAAGTCCGAGTGAAGTGACTTTCAGATGATAGTCTTTCGCATCCACTAGTGCGTTTTTGTCCACGTCCAGATAAACGAATGCTTTACGAATGCGCTGATGATGGATCATTCAACAAGAGACCGTCTTGACAATAAATCTACCTCGCGCATGCCCTTCAGTTGTGCAGCTTGCCCATCCTTTGTGCCGTGTTCGACACTCGCAATAATTTTCCTACGATGAACAGGTCAGCAAAGCCTTAACGCGCTTGTACGCACTCTTTTTGGTTTTCGTGATGCATCGATCTTCGTTGTCCAACCAAGAACTCTAAGAGCAAGTGCATCAAAGATTGCGATTGAACCATCATCGTGGCCACCTCTCTGTTTCTTTCTTTCAAAGGCAGCATTCTTCTCATGAGCCTGGCAATCTCGTCTGAACTCTAAAGAGTGTATGTTCGCCTCCCTTCTTGCACTGATTCTGGCCATCCTTTCGCGTTCCTCCAATGCCTTTCTCTCTTCTTCCAGTCTCTGACCAAGAACAAGTCATCCCATAAACATCGGCATCAAGTTTGGATACCTTTAGATACTCCTCTTTCTCCTTCATGTTCTGCCTTTCTTCACGAGCTCGGTCTCGTTCTCTCTTGGATTGCTCCAATCGATTCTTTTGCATGTTAAGAAATTCCATTTTCCTTGCCATCCTTTCGGATTCTCCCTGGGAATAGTTGCCTTGCATGTTGTTTTCCTCCTGCAGACGTTTCAGTTTCTAGTTCACAAGATGAATTTTCTTTCTTGCTCCGCAAGATCGCATTGAAGTGTCTCTCCCTCATCTCTAAAGCTAAAAGGGAACATAAGTCTTCACAGATGCCAAGGGACAGGAGCAAGACTGACAGCTATTGAGACCTTCAGCTCGTAACTTGTGACACTGTGGGCTTTTCCAACCTCTTCCTCCCTCCTACTGATTGTTCTCAAAACGCATGTTGTTCGTGCTTTCTGATATTCTTATCTTTAACTCCCGCCATCGCTCCTCCTCTTATCGTTAACTCCTGCCATCGCCGGCTTCTAGCCTACTAACATCATCTCGTTGCTACCATTCTGGAGTTCCCCCCTGGCAGTTTGACGACAGTAACCGATCATGTAACCGCCGGGAGTCTAGGGCCAACTGAGTTCAACCAGGTGACCCGATCGATTCCGGCGGGGACTCGCCCTGACCGAGTCCGGGCAAGTTCCAAGCGGGGCCGCCCGGGCCGGGCCGGCTGAGTTCCTAGCAGCGGCGGACTCCGGCATAGTATGGAGCGCCCGGGCCGCCGCGGAGCCGGCTCCGGGCGGGGTCCAGCCAGTGACTCCTGGCCGGAACTACCAGTTGAACTCAGTGACTTCACTCAGTGTGGACTGGGACTCCCGGAGTCCGTCCGGCACGGTCGGCCACCGTGACGGTGACTCACTGAGCAGTGCGACAGTTCAACGGTTACTATCTAGGAGAAGCAGTTACGAACCGTTTCGTTACGGCCCGAAGTTTGTTGCCCGGGAAAATGCAGGAAAATGAGAAAAGGGGCTGTAGCGGGACTGAAGATGTTCTCCTACTAGAAAGAGGAAACAGAGGAGAGGAGGAGGAGAGGAGAGGAGGAGAGGAGGAAGGACAAATACTGCTGAATGAAACTCACCAGACTGAAAGGCAGAAACCAACAGTCATACAATGATCGGACCAACCAAACACATCGGCATGTGTAGTTTCTATCCTTACTGCTCACTTTACCTTTACAGACATGGACTCGAAGCGAGCTTCACGGATTGAAGCAGGAAGGGCCAAGTTAGAGAAGTGAGTGAACAGTTCCTGATGCATCGCGCCTTCTTTTGCTGAGTTTTGCTCTTAGGTTCAGGAGCAGAAAGAAAGCCTCTCACGTTTCTGAAGCCGGCCGAGATGAAAGCGCGAACGTAGTAGAAGGTAAATGTGACGTCTTCGTCGAGAGCTCCAATTGTGAGCTTAGTGCAGGAAATCCGGCTCAATCTGCGGCTCATGATGAGCAGATGAACCTTGTGGGAAAAGTAAAGTCTCTGTCGCACATACGTGAAATTGTGTGCGAAGAGGTATCAAAGGTATGCGAGGATTAATTTTTCTTTCATGATTGACACATTACAGACCGTCAGAAACTCTATCTCAATCAGAAATGAGCTGAAATATCTGCGAGAATCTTTCAAGAAGACAGAATGTGAAACTTGACGAGATTCAAGATGACTTGCTTACTCCCCTTGTCAATGTCAGGCAGCGGAGAAGGTTATCTTGAAGAACGTGTCACCATTGCTATGAAAATTGCTCAAGTCAGTGCGCATTTTTCTGTTTTGTTCCTTCTCATTCTCCATTGATAGAATTTTTGATGATTTGATCAGGCAGTATCTGAAATATATGAAGCGCAATCAAAAGCATGCGATGAAAAGGATTCTTCTTCCTACAAAGAGGTTCGATTTGGAACGCGTGTTATTCTTTTGATGTAGATTTTGCATCATAGGACTCACAGAGTATCAAGGCAAGAATACAAGATAACGTGGTCGATCTCTGTTCACAGGTTCGTCTCTGAAGGATCAAAGTTTTCATTCTGATCTATTTCTGATGGATTGTTAGCTGATATGCATAGACGAAAAAAGCAAGCCCTGCATATCAGCAATCATGAAAAATCTATCAAGTGATACTTTTCACGTTCGATGTGATATCAACCAAATACACCAAGGTCATGCTAACACAGAGGGGATCAACGATGAAACAGAGAATGAAATAGTTTGTTCGAAGCAACTTCACACAAAACACGAGGATATCACCAGACCACACCAAGCTGAAGACATGGCTGTCAATGTACTGCATAATGAGAATTCCGGTAATGAGCCGCAACACTCATTCAGCAGAACATCCCAAACACTCAATTTGGAACAAGAAATATTGTCCACAAAGCTAATCGAGATTGAGCATTTGAAAGATGAGCTTCAAAAAGCAAAACAAACAATTGAAGAGAACAACTTCAAAAAAACTATGTTGGAAGATCAAGAAACGGAGCTGCGACGGCAGGCGAGGGACAGAGAGGCCGAAGCAGCGGAGCTGAGGGCGCGGGTCGTGTATCTGGAGTCAGAGCTTGAAGCTCGAGAGCAGCGGGGGGCAGCGGGGGCACAGACACGGCTATCCAAGGGCCTGCGGGAGCTACGGGAGCTACAGAGGGGGGAGCTGGGGAAGGTAGAGGAGCTTTGCAGGGCGATGGAGGGGAGCATAGAGGAGGCCGAGAGGGAGGTGCGGGAGGTACAGGAGAGGTACGCAGAGGGCATGGAGGCGGCAACGGCAAGGAGGGCGGCGCTCGAGGAGGAGGTCCTTAGGACACGGGAGAGCCAGGCAGAGGAGGCAGGGAGACTAGGGAGGGAGCTGGCAGAGGCAGAGGCGGCAGCGAGCCGAGCCAGGGAGGCGCTTGAGGGGATGCAGCGGGAGCTGGCGGAGGCACAGGGCCAGCTGGCAGCATCAGAGGGAGAGCGGACAAGGCTGGCCAGCGAGCAGGAGGCTCGGGCAGAGCAGGAGGAGGAGCTGCGACGGCAGGCGAGGGACAGAGAGGCCGAAGCAGCGGAGCTGAGGGCGCGGGTCGTGTATCTGGAGTCAGAGCTTGAAGCTCGAGAGCAGCGGGGGGCAGCGGGGGCACAGACACGGCTATCCGAGGGCCTGCGGGAGCTACGGGAGCTACAGAGGGGGGAGCTGGGGAAGGTAGAGGAGCTTTGCAGGGCGATGGAGGGGAGCATAGAGGAGGCCGAGAGGGAGGTGCGGGAGGTACAGGAGAGGTACGCAGAGGGCATGAAGGCAGGGATGGTTTCTTTCAATGTTTCTGGACTGGATGATGAGGTCACGGGAGAGCCAGGCAGAGGAGGCAGGGAGACTAGGGAGGGAGCTGGCGGAGGCACAGGGCCAGCTGGCAGCATCAGAGGGAGAGCGGACAAGGCTGGCCAGCGAGCAGGAGGCTCGGGCAGAGCAGGAGGAGGAGCTGCGACGGCAGGCGAGGGACAGAGAGGCCGAAGCAGCGGAGCTGAGGGCGCGGGTCGTGTATCTGGAGTCAGAGCTTGAAGCTCGAGAGCAGCGGGGGGCAGCGGGGGCACAGACACGGCTATCCGAGGGCCTGCGGGAGCTACGGGAGCTACAGAGGGGGGAGCTGGGGGAAGGTAGAGGAGCTTTGCAGGGCGATGGAGGGGAGCATAGAGGAGGCCGAGAGGGAGGTGCGGGAGGTACAGGAGAGGTACGCAGAGGGCATGAAGGCGGCAACGGCAAGGAGGGCGGCGCTCGAGGAGGAGGTCCTTAGGACACGGGAGAGCCAGGCAGAGGAGGCAGGGAGACTAGGGAGGGAGCTGGCAGAGGCAGAGGCGGCAGCGAGCCGAGCCAGGGAGGCGCTTGAGGGGATGCAGCGGGAGCTGGCGGAGGCACAGGGCCAGCTGGCAGCATCAGAGGGAGAGCGGACAAGGCTGGCCAGCGAGCAGGAGGCTCGGGCAGAGCAGGAGGAGGAGCTGCGACGGCAGGCGAGGGACAGAGAGGCCGAAGCAGCGGAGCTGAGGGCGCGGGTTGAGGAGCTCGTCGGAGAAGCGGAGGCGGTGAAGGAGAGGCTTCGGGACACGGAGGATGCACGGGAGAGGGCAGACGACAAGGTACTGAGACTG